GGCAGAGATAGGCGTGACTCTGTCCGTTAACAGTCTATGGAAAATACATATAAGACAAACATAAAACACAACACGGCTATGCTAACATATAATTTTAAATAAAAGCTCCAATCCAGTCCTGGTTGTCGAGCCCTGGAGACGCCTGGGAACTAAAGTTGCCCTCTTTGTAAAAAAGTTTTGACACCCCTGTTCTAAAGTAAATATGTTTTGAGCCGAAATTGACTAAAACAATGTATCAAATTTGTGAAAGGAGTCGTTTATTGCTCAATCTATTAACCGTGACATAACATAGTCATAGACCTTGAAGAGTTTTTTGATCCATCCATGCTAATGAGACTTCTGCCACAAACGTGTAGCTCCGCCCCTTCTGTGTAAGAGCTCATGTCTCAGTCCTGTGACGGTATGTCATTGTGCCATCTCAAACTCAAAAAAACATTAACTCCTCCCTCTGGTGGTGGCACTATGAGTTACAGGCAGATTTTTTTTTGTATGCAAAGAAATACATTTGAGCACAATGCAGACACTTTATGCAGACACTTTAATTTAATTCAAAAGAACACATAAAAAATAGAAATACAAACTGCAGATACAATGCATTAAAGGCACACCGTGTAACTCTTGGCCACTAGGGGCGCTAGACCTGCAACTTTCACGTTTAGCGCCCCTAGTGGCCACAAGCAACTCAGCACTGTCGCAAAAGTCAACAAACAGTCAGCCGGTGTCTTTTGAGTGTGTATTCAGACAGCATGCACTGGTGTGTGTGTTCAAACTGTAGAGACATGCCTACAGATATTGAGAGACTCTGCTGTGGTCAGCCTCCAGACCGCTGCATTAGTAATCTACCACACATGGACTTCTATATCCTGGATGAGGGAGTTCTGCGTCTAGCTCGTGCTGCGTGGAATTACATCTTTGCAGTCGATGACATCCAGGAACCAGGTGAAGAGCAGCGCTCATACAGACATGCAGCTTACAGCACGATCCCTTTCGCGTTTCCTCTTTTTAGCCTCCTCCGAAGGTTTAAAATTTTTCCTTGCCTCAGCCATGACCAGGAGTCGAGCAGGTGAAAAATGAGTAGCAAAAGCCTTAGCTCCATGAGTATATCAGCGCCTGTAGCCGTAAAGCAAGTCTTTCTTCCAAGTCACGTGACCTGGTGGCAGACGGTCCGTCTGCTCAAAACTTACATGGGCGGTATTTCAAGAGGGCAGCCCCGCTCGGAGCATTGCAAGTGTCAAGCGCTGTATATTGGCCCAAGTATTCATATAAAATAACTCATATGTGTCAACTCTTTAGGTCACAAAGTCCGCGGTGTGCCTTTAAAAATAATAAAAATAAGGTAAAAATGGATTGAACATGAGAACAGTCGGGTTCTGTTGCACACATTCCTCTTCCGTATTCCTGTGTATCAGACTTGTGTAACAGTGTGTGTGCGACATAATCCAGTGTGTACCATGAGCGAGACTCTTGGGGCTTACATGCCTGCCCTGTGTGTGTGTTTGTGTGCGACCGCCAAGGATTAACTTTTACAAATCTCATTATCAGACTATACACTCTTGACCCTGCCTCAAACTGAGCCCGCTCCACTGAAAAAAAACTGCCTTAAAATCAGCCAATAAAACTGTGGACAATACCAAAAAACAATTGGGGCAACACTTTTCCAGAAGGCAAACAACCGATATTGTAAATCCAACAAGACAATGTGTTTCTTTAAGTCTTTAAATGGGACTGGAGAGTACATGACAATACAAAAATAGCGTATAAATATTTCTTTCCTGCCACCAACACGCAAAGAAGACGTGGTCAATACTGAATCACAAACGCTTCATGAATCGAACCAAATGTGGTATTTTTGACTCGTAACGCCCACACGTGCATCTGAGGTCACGACTCAATGGTCTCTGTCAAAGTAGACGTTGGTTTGAAGAAGTGTGGACACCTCTGGGCCTTTCTGAGTGGAGTTTGCATGTTCTCCCCATGTCTGCGTATAAGTTTCCTCCAGGTGCTCAGGTTTCCCCTACCACTAAAACCATGTACAATAGGTGTGGCATGCGCCTCCTGTACTGCTCCGGTCTCTGTGGAGTGAGAGACCAAATGCCAAAAAAACGAACAATTGTAAAGTGTTTTGTGACTCTGGTTTGTGCGATATAAGTAAAGATGACTTACTCACTCTGCTGTTGTTGTTTTGTGAGTCATCCCTGTGCCAGGTATACAGCACATTCACACGCATCCACAGCATGAGGTCATGTGGAGGTGCCCTGACCTGCCTGGGCCCGCCCTCCACCGGGGTGAGATGACAGGGACGGGGCGGGACAGGAGGGGAGGGGTGTCACAAACGGGAGATTCACAGTGGGACTTCAGGATTCACTGTATTCACTGCTGCCTGATCTGAAAAAAAAAAATTACTTGAACATTTTCTTAGATTTTAGCTTCAACCTCTTAACCAGATTGTCAACGCATTGTTGCTTGAATTGAACAAAAAAAATGCCGTAGCCACACCTGCCCTGGGGCAATCTGGCATAAGCAAGGCAACCAGCCTGTGCCATTAGCCCCTCCCACCACAACAACCATTCACACACACACACCAGACTCATTCTAATGTGGGTCAAGTGTCTTGCTTAAGGACAATGACAGTTTGGCAGAAATCTACAAACAATACATTTGGCTCCTTCAGGGAAAACTGTCACATTGTGTTAAAGTAATAAGCAATCTGTCGCTGCAAAGAATAGTGGCAAATGTTAAGATATTGAGCCCAAAATGAACAGTTCTATCTGTTAGTGATAAGTGAATAACTAAAACGGAATCAGAACAATTTTTGCCTTCGTGAGAAACAAAGTAACAAACTAGGAAATTGCTTTGGCTCTGAGTGCATGGAAGTAAAAATAGAATAAGGCGTGAAATGAAATGCAATGATTTTCATGTATCTTAAAATTACTACAATATACAAGTGCAATGAGCACACACAACTGCTTTGACAAAGTATTTGAAAGGGTCACGCTTTACCCTTCAAGTAGTTTTGTGGCAGTTATATTTTAGCTGTAACTAGAGGAATAACACGTTTTCACAAGTATCTCAAAACTGAGATCTGTTTTTGTAAATGAAAACGTCAAGTAGTTGTTGCCGCCCTACTGTTCATAGTAGATCCGTGCCCCCCCCCCCGCACACCCATAGTCTCTGCCTGTTTCTGTCTGTTTGATTCTATGTCTCGGCGGTCTCATAATCGTAGCTTCTTATCGGCCGTGTCCAGAGTGAAGCTGAGTGAGGAGGCCTGCTTCATGTAGTGGTCAGTGTGGGGCAGTGACAGGTCTGCAGAGGGCTGATGGGACACACACACACACACACAGAGACACACACAGATAAGGCCTGTGATGAGAGCTGCTGCAGAATGTGCCACAGGAGACTTAAAGGTGTTTAGTATGACCTCTGCATCTGAAGGCGTCAACCAAGAATATTTCTCATGAGTATTATTTGATTCAAAGGTGTGCTTTGGTTCTGAAGGCAGATTTTTGTGGATGGCAGAATGAAGACAATTCTGAAAAGAGGACACGGGGTGATTCCTAGTTCTACAGCCTGTCAGTCTGTGGGAGCGGATCTATCTCAATGTGGCACTTTATTTTTATTTTTCTTGCTGAAGCAGGACGGTGTAAGGACAGTGATGATCCAGAACATGTATTGGTCAATGGCTGCTATGTTATTACTGAATGTCCTGTGTTCAAACTGTTTTATATAGTTATTTATAAAGTTGTCAATTCCTCATCAACAAATCGAAGTCCTCAGACTACTGCTGCTGTGATTTATATTTGAAGTAATATTCATTTGTAATCATTCTAATACTTTTGCAGACTTAGACCACTTTTGTCTCTGTCTGAATGCTGGCTCAATTAGTGTCTAGTTTCAACACTAGTTACTATTTGATACTCTAGACATCCCTGTGTAATCGAGGTGTAAATGATTAAACTACATTGATATTTATCTCCCCAATCAATGTGTTGGAACTGCAATTTTCTACTCCCACCTTGTGAGCCTGTGGCTCGAGCAGCAAAAGCACCTATACAAGAACGTTATTGCCATATGGGAATTGATTGCTATATTATGAAGGTGGTGTTTATCCACACATGCATTCAAATGGCACCAGATTTGACCTCTACTGGTCTGCGTTGCTCTGGTCGGACTGGGACCTTACTTAATAATGCATCAGTTTTAAACAGCGCTTTTCTGGACGCTCAAAGACTCCTCACATATCATTTATTCTTTCACTCCAAACACAATGGTTATAAACTTTCTCTGTAGCCACAACTGCCCTGGGGCAAATTGAAAGAAGCGAGGTAACCACTATCTGCCATCGGCCTCTCCCACCACCACCAATCATTTACTCATAACAGCCCAATGACACTACAACAGTTTAGCACCTCACTGTCATAGCCGCCCCACTGTGGCACCTGGTGTACCCAGAGGTCTCCCATCACAGCACTAACCACGCCCTGCCCTGCTTGGCTTCAGAGTTCTGAAGGGATCTGGCTTTCACCTGCTGGTTTGGCTGTTCTTAACCCAAACCCCACTTCGATAAGAAGTGGCCGTTCAGAAGCAGACAGTAGTTTTTCTAATAGCTCAAACTTCCCTCTGCCTTGGCTCGTGTCGGGCCCCTCCTCTCGCCTCTTCCCTCTGGGCTCTCGCACACTCCTCCGAGCCCAGATGAGTGGAATGTGTCATCTGGCCGACAGCCTCCCCCCTCTCCCCTCTCCTCTCCTCTCCCCTGCCTGCTCACCGTGGACACTTTGGGGTAATGAGCTTAGCGGGCTTAGCGTCCCGCAGCTCCGGACTTTGCATTGTCGCAGTGATCATTAGCAGTTAGCGGTTAGCACTGGAGACTGGAGCTGCCAAGAGAGCACTGCGGCGGAGTCCCCCCTCCTCCCCCCGTCCCGCACCTTGTCCCGGGACGCTGACTAACCGCTTCAGTAGCTGCATCACCTCCGCGCACAGATTTCTTGCGGAATCCAGGCAGGATGTATCAAAACCCGTGGATCCCTAACTACCTGAGCCATGTCGAGGTGTGCGGCCAAGGTAAGGAGTTTGGAGCGGTGTCTGTGCGTAGGGCGCCCAAACGGAGGTCAGGGCACACGGCCAGCTCTGCCCTACTGCGAAAACCCAGTGACGTATATACTGCAAACTTTTTCTTTTTGAAAAACTCCACAATATTGTTAAGGCTTCATCCATGCTGATATCTACAATCAACCCCATCTCAGATTGCTCTGTTCTCAGTCACATTTATTACAACGTCAGAGACTGAACTGCAGAGTTTTTTTGCCTTTTTCAAGCCCAGTTCTGATCCTTTCTATAACATTGGATTCATTAGAACAGTGTAGGTACATAGGAGGGTTGTCTATCACCAGAATGATACATGCTCGTCAAAGAGTTTTGTAAAAAAGTGAAGAGGGTGGTGCTTTTCTAATTTTTTTTTGAAAATCCTCATATATATATATATATATATATATATATATATATTAGTGCTGTCCAAAATATCGCGTTATTAACGCGTTAACGCAAATCAATATTAACGGCGTCATTTTTTTTATCACCATTAATTTTTTTTATAATTATTAAAAAAAAAAAAAAAAAAAAAAAAAAATTTTTTTTTTTTTTTTTTTTACTTTTTATTGCAGACAAACACATATACAGAAAAAAAATAGACACAAAGAAAAGGACTAGTTAAGATACATTGTAGACAGAGATTACAAACAATATGTAGTTGGAGATACAGGGGGCCAAAGAAGAAACCCAGAAGGGCACATAGGAGGGGGGGGGGGGGACATGAAGTGGGAGATGGGGGGGAGGGGTTAATAAAAAAGGCCATACAAGCAAACAGTATACAGTCATAGATATACCGAAAGTAAACAGAGAAACACTATAGAGTATTTACATGAACAAATTTACAAAAAAATTGTTTATCATCATAATGACACCATGATGTTTCTATACAGTCTATGGTCTATACCCACACATACACACACACACCCACACACACACACACACCCACACCCATAAACACACACACTCCACACACACACATTGAAGGGGCTTTTTGTTACCAATTATTTATTTTGTCATCCATTTATTGATGATTTTGCATCAAATGTTAGTGTGTAATATAACACTACACATTGTTTTCAATAAAAAAAGAAATTGCACACAGCACGCAAATGGGTGACTAATTTGCGATTAATCGCGAGTTAACTATGAAATTCATGCGATTAATCGCGATTAAATATTTTAATCGTTGGACAGCACTAATATATATATAATTTAAGAACTAAAATGAATTTTTAAAAAAATGAAATAATTGATGCGATTTGCTCTGGAAAAGTATGAAAACCAGTGTTCTGCAAACCTGATCCTGCATCCTCGTCTTGTTTCCATGGAAATATTGTTTGTTTAGCTGTAATCTTCCATGGTATGATATTGCGTTTGTTCAGTGTGCCCCAGGGCAGCTGTGGCTACTGTAGTCGTTCATCACCACTGTGTATGAAGTGAATGAAGAATGCGGTGAAGTGTTCCTGAGTGTCCAGTTAAGCGCTGTATAAAACCCATGGATTATGATCCCGGTCGGAACAGGGCCTTTATGAGTGGAGTTTGCATGTTCTCCCCGTGTCTGCGTAGGTTTCCTTCAGGTGCTCCGGTTTCCCCTACCACTAAAAACCTGCACAATAGATATGAATGTAAATGAGAGAGTGAATGGATGGTGTTGATTGGGGGCTGATGATCCAGTATGTTCGGCGACTCGCTTCTGTCATCGTGCGTGGAATGATTGGAACAAACTCTGAACATTGTAAAGCGCTTTGGGTGACCTTGGTCTGTAAAATGCGCTATATAAATAAACATTACTTATTATTAACATTGTCTTAGAATAATGTTTTCACTTCTCAAAACAGTTGCTTCTATCATTTTTCACATCTTTAGATCAGCTTTTTCAGACGGAAAAGTGAAAAAGGATGACCAACCTCACTCAGCCCATCAGCTCCCAGCCCAAATAGTCAAATAGTGAGTCACAGGGCAGTTTCTTACAAGTATGCAAAATATAGGATAATAAAGACGGACTGTTCACAACATACTTTTACTTACTTTCAGTTATTTATGAAAGAAGTTGGGTACCGCAGCTTTGACATGGCCTCCTTTTAATAGCACACATGAAGTCTGGGAGTAATGGGGGCATGGTGTATATTTTTAGTCTCTGTCGATAGAGGAGGCTCAGACTTTAAATGAACCAAACGACAGAGCATCACAGCGAGCGGAGAGGATCTGAGATGCTGTTGTGATTTAGTGCCAGACGGACCTGTGCGTCTCAAACCTGGGGCAGAATGAGCAGTTGGGCAACACACTTCCCCCATGTTCCCAGTAGCAGTCTGGTGTGCTTTATGGTCCCACGGAGAGATTTGCCCTCTGTATTTGACACATCCGTCATTGCCACTATAGGGCAGGGCTCTCGTCGTAGAATGTGTGATGCATTCATTCCTTTAGCATTCCGACAACAGCTAATCCCTGTCATCCGCAGCAGGAGGAGACGCGGCTGTACTTCTGTTTGGTACAGTGTCATGTTTAGGTCCTGACAGGAGCAGTGTTGATGCTTACATTTTATTTATTCATTTGGATCCAATTGGATTTCACATGTGGTCACTCGTCTTCCTGGGGTACACTGGCTTTATCCATCTAGCACAAAAGGCTGATCTAACCTAATGATAAGTTAAAGATCAGTCTATCCTGGGCCAGCTGCAGTTTCCTCTGGACCAAATGAATGAACAGTATTCCAGATCTGACTTAACCAGGCACTCTACAACTGCTCTCATTACTGATGGAGAGAAATGGTGCGTAAGTCCTGGACGTGGTATGCCTCTGCCATCCTAGAGTTGGTCATGATTATGCCTCTGCCATCCTAGAGATAATATGTGTAAAATTGTATTGAATAGCCGGTGAAAAAGCCCAAATGAATAAACAAGATCTCGAGACAGGGTCAGTTTACAGATTCATTATTGCATCAGACATGGTTGTTTACACTGCAACAAAGCAGAAAACAAATTGCAGATTAACAAACAATGAAACTAAAATGGGAAATCAACTAACAGAAACTCGCATGACGCATGCTGATCCATAGCCTGGATGGAAATGAAAAGGGGAAACAATGGGCTTCCAGGGCTTAAAATGGCTACCTAATTGCACCTAGGTGTGTAGGTGTGGGAGGGCGGAGTCAGCAGAGGGGTGTGTCTGAGGGATTTCTCACAATATGTACTGTATGTGATCAGTTCTTGAGATGCTGGTGGAGCTCATACCCGCTCACGGTGGACACTTGAGGGTAATGAGATTAGCGAGTGCAGACAGACGGCCCCTGTGCATCAGTTCTCCTCTCCCCTCAGTGTGCTGTCATTGTGGCCCATCAGATCTCTGAAGCTAAGCGGGGCAGGGCCTGGTTAGTAGTGTCTTTGTGTCCTTAGGCAAGACACTTCACCCAAATGGCCTAGAATGAGTCTGGTCTGTGCATGAATGGTTGGTGGTGGTCGGAGGGGCCGATGGCAGAGACTGGTTACCTCGCTTCTGTCAGTGTGCTCCAGGGCAGCTGTGGCTACAGTAGTAGTTTAACAAATGTTTTAGTGTCCAAAAAAATGCGCTGTATATAACCAATGTCTTATTGTGACAAAGTGCTCTTGTGGCTTATCCTCTGCCACTATGTGTAAAACGTCTGCTTTTGTGTTTGTGTGTGTGTCTAGGACTTGGCACTGATCCACGTATCAAACTTGGCAACCGGCGCCTGCTGCAGAAGAGAGCTTTGAGGTGAGAGGCCCGAAGCGTTCACACAACCATCAGAAGTTTGCAGCAGTCACATCTGTCTTCCTGCTCCGCCTCAGATTTAATGAGTGTTCTTTTTTAGCTCGTATTGCTAAATAGTGTATATAATATAATCATCCTGTCTGACTTTATTTAAGTTATGATGTTTAACCTGTGTGTGTCTCTGTGCATGTCTGTGTGTTTCTGTACCTCTGGGTCTCTCTCTCACTCTCTGTGTCTCTGCGTGTCGGCCTGTGTGTATTTCCCTCCATCTGTGTGCATGTGTCTGTCTCTCTGTGTGTCCCTCTGTCTCTGTGCGTGTCGGCCTGTGTGTGTGTTTCTCTCCCTGCATGTGTGTGTGTCCCTCTGACTCTCTGTGTGTGTGTGTCTGTCTTGGGTCTCTGTGTGTGTGTGTGTGTGTGTGTGTGTCAGCCTCCACAGAGAGCTGAGCCAGGAGCAGAAGGAAGCTGTGGTCAGGAGCATCACTGACATTGATGTGGGCCTGCTGACTGCGCTGCCCAAAGGTCTGTCACTGTCCACACGTAGACCACAAACCTCTTCTACTTGTAGATCAGCCTTCACCTACTGTACCCGCATAGGGAGATTTATGAAAACATGAATGGTACACAATGCTAGCTCCTGATAGACCATTTTAAAAACGTAGTATCACTACTCTAAAGTAGCTTGTTTAGATTGGTATGATCTATGATATAGATCAGCCATTCCCAAACTCAGTAACACAGAGGCCCCCTTAAAAATCTGACGGGTCTGCGTGGCCCCCAAAATAATAACCAAGAAGACAACATTAAGAATAGGCTCTTCTGGTTATTTTATTTTGGGGAAATAGCCTCTGCTACAAACATTGTAATACAAAAATGATTACAGTGGATTATTCAAGTCAAATAATGAACACAAATATTTTAATATTACAAACAAAACATTATAAATTTAACATTAAATAATTACATTATTATTATTTTTTTTTTTATGACCTCCCGTGGCCCCCCTGCAGTACCCTCGCGGCCCACCAGGGGGCCGCGGACCCCACTTTGGGAGACACTGATATAGATAATTTAGATTTAGAACATATTCTCTGAGATTTTCTTTCCAGTGATTAGGCATGAAGATTTTTTTCTCAGTTATGATAATAAAGAAAACTCAGCTCAACATAACAATAAAACTGGCAGTATTTAAAGATTCTCATTACTAGACTTTAATAAGAAGTGTTTCCCCATGAAATACAATCTCTTTAGAACCTCCAATGAACCCTAATGATATTGACAAGGTTCAAATTAAATATTTTTTTGATTTTAGAAACGCTGCCGCTACAGGACGTTACCAACATAAATAATAGAATGTTTAGAATGTTGGTGTAGCTATATTTTACATCTGGAGTTTTCTTATCTGCCAAAACCTTTTGGTGAAAGTCGAGGATGAGGATTGTATTCTAAGAGTTGTTTGATGTAGTTTCAGAGCTGAGGAAACGGTTCGAGGGGATCCGCAGCAGCACCAGCGACTGCGACATGAACAGGTGCAGAACACTGTCCCTTTAGCCTGATCCAGAGGCTTTACTTTGGTATTTCATCATTTAGTCTGTGACAGACATTCTCAAGTAAAAACAGTCTAAACAAACCTCTAAAGGACAAGGAACCCCATTTTATTTTTTAATGTTTAAGTAGATGGTTTGAAACAACTCCAAGACGATGTATGTTTGTGTCCTCCCCGTCTGTAGAAAGGAGCGCATTGCCCGGCGGATGGAGGCCATTGAGGGCGGAGAGGTGTCCAGTCTGGTGTCCCGCAGGCTGATGGAGGAGGACACGCCTCGCTACACCCGCAGCTCGGAGGACTCCCCCCGCTACGTCAGGCCGGCCGACGAGTCCCTGCGGTACGCCAAGACCCCAGAGGACCTCCCACACTACATCAAGAGCCCAGAAGACCTACCACACCTCTCAAAGTCCTCGAACCACCTACAGCTTTATGGCAAGACCCAGGAGGGCATACCACACTACACAAAGACCCAGGAGGAGACTTCAGACTACATCAAAACATGTGAAGAGCCTCGCCACACCCAGAGAACGGACTACATCCACACTCTAAGCGACGCACTGCATCTCGTCAAGACACCAGAGGAAGTCTCCAACTCCTTTCCTGAGTCCTCCCGGTCTTCTGGAGGGTCAGCTGACTGCCCCCAATACAGCAACAGCTCAGGTCCCTGTGAAGCCGGCACCGCAGGTAATCATGTCTACGTTTATACCCAAGAATATTAGTTCATATCGAGATGTGTTTTGGAGTCGAAGATGACATTGAAGTTACGAGCGGATGGTGTAAGGTTTGATGAGGGGACCGAAGTTGGTTTGGGCTGCTGTATAGTAAACTGTAGGCAAACTTTTATTGGTCCCTCAGTGGGGAAATGTCAATGCCGTTCTTGTGCACGTTGCAGCAGAAAAAAAAGGATAAATAAGAGCAACCCACAAGAGGTTATGCACACATCAAACGACAGATCAATTATTTATGATAATAGAAAAATAAGATAATAGAACTCTGGAGCTATAATTGGTCTTGGTTCAAGGATGAGTCTCTTGCTGAGTATACACTATACATATACATACTGTATATAGCATTTTCATGAGGTATTTACATATGGTTGGTGTTGTACGTCACCTACTGCTATTATAACTATTATTTAGTCTGATCATATCCTCTGATGCTAAAGTGAATTATCAGAGCAGAGATATCAGATGACTGGAATATGTAATCAGGTAAAAATATAGTAATAGTATAAGCAGCTAAAGTATAAATGTGTCCTATGTTTCTGCATCAGCTACCTCACAGCAGTACAGTCGGGATGGCTCGTACACCTCCCAGTCCACTCCCCCCACCACCACCAGCAGCACCACTGGTCCTGACCTGGAGTCTAAGGCCCAACGGATCGCCCAGTACAAAGCCGAGAGGAGGAGGCAGCTGGCCGAACGATATGGCATCTCCCTGGACCTGGACACTGACTACAGCTCACGCTACAGCCGCCCTCGTAGAGAGATCAGTGACCCCAGTAACGCCACGCCCAGAGAGACCAGTGACCCCAGTAACGCCATGCCCAGAGAGATCAGTGACCCCAGTAACGCCACGCCCAGAGAGACCAGTGAACCCTGTAACGCCACGCCCCGAGAGACCAGTGAACCCAGTAATGCCACGCCCGTGAGCCCAAAGGAAGCACGTACGGCCCCCTCGCTCGACCTCTCCGCTCCAGGTACCAATGGGCAGACCGCACAGACATTAGCAGTGGGGGGACAAAACTATTTCTGTTCAGTATCACGATATTTTGCGCACTCAAATACATCGATCTTGGAGTGTACTCTATGAAAGACATGAATCGCAATATGTCACAGAATCGAATCGCAATTCTTAATACAATATGTTAAGAATCGCAATACTATTGAATCATCACATTTTCGCCTAGACTTTTCACCATGTTGCTTCATTTTTCATATACTCTGCTTAGGTCCTTGCTGTCCTATATTATAGAAATTCTGAAAAATAAGCTAATTGATATTAAGGTTATAAATTCTGCATGTTACGAGTATGTGGCTGAATGTTTTTTGACCAGCCAAGCCCAGTTTCCTTAGTGATCCATTTTTTATTTTAGCCTCTTAAAAGTTTGTGAAGAAAGGTAAAAAAAATGTTGAAATTGTCATTTCTATATGTCAAATAAATCTTCTGTTTATGCCCAGAAGTCATGAAGATATGTAATATATGTTTACTCTCTCGATTAATAAATATAGATAACATTTTCTAGTCTGTTTCAATTTAAAGCAATTTTGAAATCTAAAGACTGAAGCTGAAGAAAGCTGAGTGTTGTAGACAGAAACAGCAAACATTCATTGTGCTGTGATTCCCATTCATTTAAATAGGAGGAGACGGTATGTAGTTTGCAGATGAGAAAAGGTCCGGGGGCCACATAGAAACGTGAATTGGGCCGTATGTGGCTCCCGGGCCGCACTTTGCCCAGGTCTGGATTAACAAGTTTTTCCAAAATGTAATTTGTGCACAGAGCCCACGCTGACCCAACTGGATCCCTTCTCTGAGAGGGAGAGACTGCTGAACCTGGAGAACCAGCGACGCACTGCCCCCAGAGGCTCCACGGAGGAGGAGCCGGAGCACACGGAGGACACCGCGGCCCTGATACTCCACACGCGGACCACCTCCCCTGAACACACGTCTGCGTACATGGAAGTCACGCTGGCCTCCCCCAAACCTCCCCACTCCCCGGGGGACCTGTTCATTCAGCAGCAGGCCCACAGCGTCCTCAGCAGGCAGGGGTGAGTACTGCACTCTCTTCACAGTAGTATTGGTATTTATCTGATTTCCTGTTCCTGGAAGGAGGCGCCAAACCTTTATTTAGATCAAAGGCCGCTAGTCAAAGTAAAAACTAGAGAGCCAAACATGGAAAAACCAAAATGCCAGCAGCTTGACTGGACAAAGCTCCCCTGTATATTTTACAACTAATTTTAAAATTATGATTTTTATTTTTAAAAGTCTTAATCGAACAGCACCCTCTTGTTTACACGACCACCTCCAGCCCCACCGTCCCCCCAGAGCCCTGCGCTCTGCAGTTCAGCACCTTCTTGTCATCCCTAGGACCAGGCTGAAGACTAGTTTTTATTTATGCACTGGTCCGGTGCACACTGGGGACTTTTGCACATGTATTCCAATGTGGTCTGCAAATAGCAAATTAAATGAATCTGAATCTGAATTCTGGTTCTTCTCAGTGAAAGGACCAGCTGAAATTCTGAACCTCGAGCACTTTAAATCCCTGCTTTAGATGCATCTTCTCTCTGTGGGATTTACTACCAGGAAGCTAGAGACTAGTTTTTATTGTTGCTATTTTCCACTTTCTGTACATCTCTTTGGAAAGCCAAGGCTGTTTTAAAGTGCTTTACAAATACAGATTTATTGATGCATTAGTAAAGTTACATTTAAAAACAATGGAATTTAGCACAGGTTAGACGGTTTCTTAAAGACTAGGTGGTGTAGTCCTAAAATAAACGTTGTCCTTTGTCAAAAACATACCTAGACTTGTCGCTCTACGCCAAGATCAGAACTGGCACAACCTCCACCCCTCTGTCAATATGCTACTTCTCAAACTTATTATGTTATGACAAATCCCCAGATGAAGACGAACGAGCAGACTTATGCCTGGTAAACCAAAGTAATGTCTCTAGAATATCCCTCGTTAGATTGCACCATGTTGATCTAGCATTGTGTAATTCCCCACTCCCTCCACTAGATGGTAGAATTTTCTGATCTTTATCCATTGTACAAGCCGTAATATTCTATGCTCAACGTTTGTAGGGAGATGTTTGTACCAATTAAAAATGTAATGAATGCCCAATAATTAGCCTACGATCATTGCACAGCTCTGATTGGCTGCTCCAGACAGACTCTGAGGGCGACACCCACTCCCTCATCAACTGGCCATCGAGGTACACCCCTGCCCCCCTCAGGCTGGACGTCCCATCACTCACATGCCTCCTCATTCATTCCCAACATGGTCCTGAGCCCATCTCATCCATGGCTCTAAACTAAACTCTCATGAAGGCCGTGCCCTCTGCCCTCTGCCCTCTGACCTCTTGTTTTAACTAACTTCACTTGTGCTGTGAATCTGCCACTGACCAACAGATATGTGGTCCTCGCCAGGGTTTGCTACTACTCCATAATAATTATTGTAACTCGATTACTTAATGAAGATGATGATACATGAAGCACTTTTATGGACACTCAAGGACTCTTCACATGGGGAATTAAATAAGAAATAAATGAAAAAGGGGGGCTTACCGAAAAGTTTGTTTGAACAGATGGGTTTTCAGCACTGATTTCAATTTTGGTAGTGAGTCAGAGTTTCTAATGGGCAGTGGGAGTGAGTTCCAGAGGGTTTTCACCAGCCCTACGCTACACTACCGTAATGTATACGAGCTGTCAAAAAATATGTATTTTGTGACAGCTCAAAAGTATACATTGCTTTACTCCCTGCAGTAAACACACAGCTATATATTTCTTGCACTAAAATATTCAGTATTTTACACTTGCCTTGTAAAACTTTGCAAAAGTTAGATATTTTATTGTATTTTAGTTATCTAAAATCACACTTGTAATGTGTGTTCCTCATTCCTACTGTGTGATGCAACATTGACATTTCCCCACTGTGTGGGATGAATAAAGAAAATCTTACTATTGAACAGTGGTAGAGCTGGAGCTGATGTTCTCCCACTGCTTTGTCTCCTGAAGAATCCGCACTAGAGAGAGGCTCGTTCGGGGACAGTGCCACCGCAGAGGTCCTGGTCCCCCAGTGCCCCAACACCCCCGGTGTGGCCCTGCCCTCCCCTCAGACCGCAGCTCTGACCTCCCCCTAGACCTGTGCTCCTCTGAAGCCACCTACCTTTCCATGTCCTCCGTTCCCACAGAAGAGGCTCTGCTGGGGGGCAAGCCGGGCCACACACTGGGTCATCTGAGGAGCAAAGCCGTGCTCCAGTCCCACCAGTCCCACCAGTCCAACCCGTCCCACCCCTCTCACCAGTCCCACCACGACGAGCGCACTGAGGAGCCCCAAAGAGGACGTCTGATGGAGCGCCCGCGACACAGGCCTCAGAGACCCACTCACGAGCTTGCATCGTCCTACCCAGTCAGTGACAAAGCCCTGGCAAAGGACCTTCAAGACCTTCCCCTGGACCTTCCCCTGTCTGTGTCCCAGCTCCGCCACTCCTACATGGAGCGGACCGCCAGCACCCCTCCCAGCTCGCGTAGACCCCCCACGTACGTCACATGAGCCTGCATATATCCTGCTGATAGCGTGCTGATAGCCTGCTGATGCCCTGCTGATATCCTATTGATATCCTGCCCATGTATAGATACTAACTAAAAGTCCTGGTCCCTCGCCTCACTAACCACTGGCCGTGTCTGTTGGAGCTTCAAGCAATGCTTTTCCTGCATGTTTTGACATTGGAAGTCTCTGCTGCACGTTGGCTTCTCTGAAGTCAATAAATGCATAGTATTTGTTCTTTAACACTAGAACAGAGTAGTCAATTTGACAGGTTTTCATTTTGGAAGTTTAATTACTCCACTTGTGTACGATTTTGGTCATCATAACTTTGACTTTTTCTGTTTCTAAATGTAGTTTATATCTATGTCCTTATGTTTATGAAATTATCTTAACCCTGGACTGGTCCTGGACTGGTCTTGGACTGGTCCTTGATTGATTCAAATCTCCGCTTGGAGAAAGTGCTAGTCACCATAGCAACACTGTTTACTTGCAGAAGTTAGTATTAAGTTGTGTTGTATTTCAGTTATATTCACCAATTTTAGAGCAAAGGAAGATTCTTCACCCATCATCTGTACTTCTTAGCAGGTTTTCCCAACGTTTTGACCCTTAATCCAAAGAACGTTTTCAAGGGACAAAACCTGCTAAGAAGTACAGATGATGGGTGAGAAATCTTCCTTTGCTTTGACTAATCCCTGTACGACTGAGAGCTTACACAAATTCACCAATTTTAGCAATTTTATTAAAGATAAACACTGCTCTGGGAGTCCTAGTGTTAAAGAAGAGTGCACACAGTATGTCCCCTTTAAAGCACACCTCTGCCGCCTCTGACCGCTGCACCAGTGTCTAACCACATTATTCCAGCAGGCGGGTCGTGGATTGGCCAGAGCGCCGCGGTCATGTGCTGGGGCTGTCTGCATGAATCGCCCTTTGTTTTGTGGGTGAAAGTTTTGTCTTAATGCCGTCTAATGCCGCTCAGAGCTGCGGAGCGTCCTGCGGCTGACCACACAGAGTACGCTCCCTCGCTCTCTCTAACATGTCCGAGCCGCGCACTCGCTGCTTCTTCTACTTTTCTCACTGTGTTCTGTGCCTCCTCAGGTCCTGCGTCAGCGCGGACATCAACTCCACCGAAGGCAAGTGCTTCCTCCCACAAGCTGCTGCTGTTTCCACAATGTGCTGCTATCAATTATGTTTAGTTTGAGTTTTCAGCCTCAGTCATGGAGAACAGACTAGTTCCTTGATAAGAATAAGGACAGGTTAGACTACTTTTACCCTAAAACAATGTGTGAAATGCTGGTTTTTACAGTTTACCTTTTACAATAACAAAGATGAGTTAGTTTTTTTTGCTTAGAACAAGGAGGAGCCTGCGGAGCTAGAGGGCAGGAGCCTGATGCTTTTGGCCCTGACCCTCTGAAGCTTCTGGAGCTCCTCCTCTGCCACAGCCTTTTATTGACTGAAAACACATACAGTATGCTCTCATCAAAGATTCCATGTTTTCCAACTTTTCCAAGCTTTTCCACTGCCGTACGATCCCAGCCAACGGAAAACATTTATTTACATGATACTCAAACCACATAGTTACTTCTAAACCTATAATATATGTATATAAGGACTACAGATGGAAATTAGCATTGTGCTAAATCTGGGGCAGCCATCTTTTTAATGTACCTGTCCGTTGTCCTTTTAAACAAATAACTAACTAATACACAATTCCTCTAAATTGTTCCAAGCCCAAACATGTTATAAAGTTGCTGCAGTTTTTTTGAAAAGTACACTGTGATTTACAAAATATAGAATTATTAGGACAAAGATCAGAAACTGGCATGTTTCTCCTCCTGTATATATTTGTTGTAATGAACCTTTTCAGACACTTTGGTGAGGCTGAAAAAGACCACAGTGTGTGCCAAGCTGCTGTTGTGTTCTTAGGCAAGACACTTCACCCACATTAGAATGAATCTGGTGTGAAGGGTTGGTGGTGGTGGTGGCACAAACTGGTTGCCTCGCTTCTGTCAATGTGCCCCAGGGCAGCTGTGGCCAAAGTAGTAGTTTATGACCACTGTGTATGCAGTGAATGAATTTTGACACGTGAAGCGTCTTTGAGTGTCCAAAAAAGCGCTGTATAAAAGTGATGCATTATTATTTTGTTTGTTCAGCACAGAAGTCATTTGTTGATAACATTATAACTCTTACATTTCCATCAGACTAATGATAAAATGTCTTCCTCTTGTTAGTAGCAGTAGCGGTGGACGTTGCCTTCTTCGCAGATGAGGCTCGGTTTGTCCAATGCTTCTAGACTGGTGTTGGACTTCCATATTTGGAAATCCGTGTGTTAGTCCCATGGCCAATCAGAAACCAGGGGTGGGGCCTCTGACAGCTCGTCTTGTGCTCTGAGTTGCCATCAATCAAACTGGTTGCCGAGGTAACTGTAGTTGCGGAAGAGGATGTCCGGAAACCATGCCCACCTATCCCCAAATGTTTTAGTGCTGAGGACCGGTTTAACATCAGACATTAATCGCACTAGTTAAATTCAGTTCAGTTCTTTTATTTACAAAACTTTATAGTCATACATGTGATAGACACTGTTATTTTTAAAGTTTGTAGTTGCTTTGTAAAAGGTAACTTCCAGGAACTACATAAGTTCATAGGTGGGTCTCCAAAACAATACATGTACTGTAAACAAGATTCAATTTATTTCCCATTTGCAGTAAAACTACATTGGAAAAACTGTGCAAGACTGCTCCAGTGAGCACCAGACAGAGACGATGGTACACACCAGCGCTCCTGCCACAAATATCATCTTCATCATAGTCATGTAACTTGTGACGTATGTGGGTCCATAGCAACATGCATGATTAACCACAGAAAACCGGTGTGTTTCTCAAACTTGCATATTTAGAATTCCTCTTCAGACTGGACTGGGCTGTAATCCTGCGACTGTACTCTGGTGAAATGTGCTGTGACGTGGCTCATGTGAGCGTCGCCGCTGGAGCCGAGGACAAATGGAGAAAGTGTGACTGGCTGGGTCACTGATGCGCCTTGTCAAAAGCTCTGATTTTCACATGAAAGTCATTCCTCTTTAATTGTGTAGAACAATGTCGCACTGTAACAACTGGATTTGTTCAAAGTGGTTCAGCAACAAAATGATGTTGATTTAGGAGGAAATGGTTTGAGTTATGAATGTGTGGTCTTGGTTCAGTCTTGTACTTAGGGAATCTGACGCCTGTGGATCATTACACATTTAGCATGGGTGTGGCTTTAATTGCACTTAAATGTGTTCATTTTTAAATTAATTAATTGGGAGAAATTCATTGAATTTCTCTTAAGTTTGTATTTCATTATTCACCCAAAGCCAGAAATCCTGAGTCGGAACTTTTTGTATGAGAGAGTCTCTGGTATGACCGCAAAGGACGAAACCAAACCCTGTCCTACGATGCCTGAGCTCCTCAGTCTATGGTCTCACCACAGACGTCCGGATCATTAGCAGAAGTGACTCATTTGGCCTCTGCTCTCGGCCTTGTGCATTAGATGTGCTATTCTCACTGAATGCGTGTGCGTTCTGACCAATGAAAGCAGCCTGTAGAGGGCAGCACTGTGCCGCACTGGTGCACGGTCTGCTGTAAGTGATCAGGAGACGGCGGCGGTCCAACCTGCACACGCACAGGTGAAAACGGGCGCCGATCCGTATGATGGTTGTTTGACGCTATAAAGGTGGAGATTACTGATTTAAGTGACTTCTGTCGGGCAGCATCACTCTGCTCTCTGCCCCGTTACAACAATTCTGTTCACGTCAAAGGCACTACTGATCTTGTGTGCTTTCTTTATAAATATGCAAACATTTTCTTTTTTAAATGCATGTAATCAGAAGAACACTGCCTGTTGTGATCTGATTTGTCAACATGTAAGGGAAAATGTAGGTACCCCAGCTTTAATTTATTAAGTTTTAGATGAGCTTCAATAGGAAACTTCCTGAGGCCCATAATCAGGGTCTGTTTCTTGCAGCTGTGTATTTGTGACATGCAGTGGAGCAGAGACAGATGATGTAGAGTCTAGTTCTAGAGCATACAGCAAAAACATGTTCCTGCGGCCCAGTGTGCACCTTGGCATCGCACCGCCACCCCACTGTTTAAGAGGGCTGGTTTCATGTGTTGTGTGTGTCATGTGTGTGCAGCGGATGAGGAGAAGCTGGACGACCGCGCCAAGCTGAGTGTCGCCGCCAAACGCTCCTTGTTCCGGGTAAGAAGACGTTCAACTTTAATAATAGTAAATCAGTTCCAACACATGAGGAAACAGTCTCCTCCTGGTCCTTGCTCTGGCTCCTAGATCACGTTGTTTTATCCACTGCCCCCAACTCTGACCTAAACATGGACATTGGGGTTATTTATAAATTTACAGTTGTTCAAAATAGCCATGTTTTTGTGAAAATCTAAAATCATAAAATCTTTGTAATAATGAATTACATACATTACAACGCACAAACCTTCCAGCCTGGAGGATGGAACCACAGTCTGCACGGTTTGTCCTAAAATACTGTGTAATATTGTACAAAAATACTGCATATTCACCATAGTTTTCGTTTTCAGATGATTGTATACAACTGTTTTTGTCAAGGGCCAAGAAATGGTGCTGTTTGCCTCTGTATTTGGTTTAAAATATAATGTGTGTTGTTTACTAAGCTTTAAAATACCTGGTGTCTGACCCTCCTGGTGTCTGACCCTCCTGGTGTCTGACCCTCCTGGTGTCTGACCCTCCTGGTGTGTCTGCACAGGAGCTGGAGAAGAGTGGCGAGGGGGGCAGTCTTCGGGCTCGCTCCCAGAATGCATCACTGCAGCGAAGGCTGAGGAGGGGTCAGGACCGCTCCAGGACTCAGCCGGTCACCACAGAGGAGGTGGTCCTCGCCGCCACGTGAGACACTTAAACCTCCTTTATTTATATAAAAGTCTGTCAGACCTGGAAACACACAGCAGAAGAAAATGGATGAATAAGACGTAGAATAAGAAATGTCTGCAGCGCTTTATCAACAAGACATGAACTCATCATGAACTCATGAGTTCACTAATGCTCAACATGACTTCATGTGATTCAATAGTGAACTCATCATGGATCAGTTTTGACTGTTCACTCGTCTCTCCCCAATCCCACTTGTGTTGCCCTCATCCCTCCCTCTGTCCTCCCCCAGGCTGCAGGCTGCTTCCCAGCGCCGTGAGCCCCTTGGAGACGGTCTGCACATGGAGAAGGTTCAGGCCTCGGAGGGAAGACCAGTCCAAGCAGAGGGCCAGGAGAGACCGGCCAGACCAGAGTGCCAGGAGAGATCAGTCCATATGCAGTACCATAGTCTACATCAGACCCAACCTCTGAGCCAGGGGAGACCAGTTCAAACGCAGCCTCAAAGCCAACAAGAGAGAGACCAGAACCAGGAGAGACCAGCCCACCCTCAGAACCAGGAGAGACCAGCCCACCCTCAGAACCAGGAGAGACCAGCCCACCCTCAGAACCAAGAGAGACCAGCCCACCCTCAGAACCAGGAGAGACCAGCCCACCCTCAGAACCAAGAGAGACCAGCCCACCCTCAGAACCAAGAGAGACCAGCCCACCCTCAGAACCAGGAGAGACCAGCCCACCCTCAGAACCAAGAGAGACCAGCCCACCCTCAGAACCAGGAGAGACCAGCCCACCCTCAGAACCAGGAGAGACCAGCCCACCCTCAGAACCAGGAGAGACCAGCCCACCCTCAGAACCAGGAGAGACCAGCCCACCCTCAGAACCAGGAGAGACCAGCCCCGCCTCAGAAGCAGGACAGCCTGGACAGCCAGGAGGAGCCTGACCGCAGCACTCTGAGCCTGGCTGAGAAAATGGCGCTGTTCAACCGCCTGGCCCAGCCCCCCACTCGAGTCACCAGGACCAGGGGAGATGCCCGGAGCCGCAGAGCTAACCCTCGGTACCAGACCCAGCCCATCACCCTGGGGGACATGCAGCAGGTAGTTATTTCTGGTTATTGATTAGAATTGCTACTTTTAGTATAGTTTAGTATTTCTGGTGCCATATAGAAAACTGTCAGTCTACTGAGAAAAAAATCAATTAACCAAAAACAATCAAAATTTCATGCAGTATTCAAGCATTTTTTTTATTTTTTTATTGGTCTATATTTACCAGGAAAGTCCCTCTAAAATGCATGTTCAGAGGAGTCAAAGACCTGGCCAAAGATGTGGGAGGAGTGGGGTGGGCGAAGGGGTTGTTACATGGACTATTGTACATGTTTTTAGTAGTAGGGGAAACCAAAGCAGACATGAGGAAAACATGCAAACTCCATACATCAACAGCACAACACTTTATCCGGGGCGGAGTTGTGGAGAAGCCCAGACCTCAAGAGGTTCTCTGTGAAGACCGCCTTCTTGTTGGCTTTAGTCTCTGCAAAGAGTTAGTGAGTTACATGCACTTTCCAAAATGGCCAAAACTGCCAAATAGACTTTCCTTGTGGCCAAATCCCCCGTTCCTCCTGAAGGTGATCTTCCGTGACTATTGTAACCTTTGAGGTCGACATGGTTTGTGACTCCTTGTTGAGAGCTTTCAACACTGGGGTTATATGTTCCTTCCTTTTTTTTTTCTTTTTTTTTTTGCAAATGAAAGTAAGCAGTTTTCTTGGCTTCATTTACATATGATCAAAAGAAGAGCTCTTGGTCAAAAATAACTATTCATTTTCTTTCAGTATCTCTCGGGGCAACAGCACACGCTACAAATGCTAACGCTAATACAATGACCTCAGTTTTATTAGGGTGGAGGAGCAGGAACAATGTTTAGTTTTGTTGTGATTTGAGCAAAAAAGGAATCTTCAGGTGTAGTCACATTGGGATGCATCTTGAAATGTGATGGTAATTAACCTTGAGGACTTTAGACTTTAGACATGATGTTCGGGACACCTCTTAAAACAAACAAATCTACTCTTTCAATACATCTCAAAAATACAAAAATTTTGTTTCATTTCTGAAGCTTTATTTATTTTTATTTATTTATTTATTAAAGGGGCAGCGCATATTAATATACATTATACATGTAAATATGCCTGAATTAGCCAAAGAGCTATTTTTCATCTGTAGTCCCTGGATAGTTATGTGTCCTCCTGAAGGGAATAAAATTACACATAACACAATCAGATAAAACATAACAGTAAAATATATACAAACAATACCCTCAATAACACGAATCAAACATAGATATGAACACTCGACTGTTACACACTCAATAACAATAAAGACAAGTCAGACTCACAGACAAAGAACAAGAGACCAGCAGGGGGCAGATGATGAGGAATCTGCCCCCTGCTGGTGAGGAATCTTGATGAGGAATCCATCAAGGCTTTGAACCAATGACTCAGACGTACAGATCCATGACTCTGCAGGATGAGTGTGCATGTCTGACCTCTCTCTCCTCTCCTCCCTCTCTCTCAACTATTTCCTCCCTCCTGTCCTCTCCTCTCCCCCACTCCCCTCTCCCCCTCCCCTCTCTCAACTATTTTCTCCCCTCTCTCTCTCCTCCGTCAACTTTCTCTTCTCTCTCTCGCCCTCTCGCTCACTCAGCTCCAGAGCGGACACTGCCCTGCCCAACCTCCCTCCTCATCCCAGGCCGGAGACATCCACATGGGGAAGAGGAAGCTAAGCTCTCCGGAGGGAGGGGCGCGTCAGCCGGCCCAGCCCCAGCCCTGTGGGAGGGAGGAGGTGCACAGGGAGGAGGTGCTCATGGAGGCAGTGGAGAGAGAGGAACTATACGCAGACAGGACACAGGAGCGAGCGTTTGGAGGTAAGGGCCGCACAACACTTTCTTTGACTCTACATCGTGAATCGTATATCGACTTACATATTTAGTACATTTAAAACAATTTTGGGGGGAGAAATGCCAGTGTTGCATCACCAGTTACAATAACTATACTAGTATAAAATTGTCAAAAGTTAGTATAAAATCTAAATGTATATATAGATATAGATTGTATACAAAAGGTCGCATGCCATTTTTAAGGGTTACGACTGATTCATTTACGTGCAAAAAATCAAATACCTTAATTCATGATTTTAACCTGTATGCATCTACACATGACATTGTAAAGCTTCTACCAACTTCAGTCAAAATTCATATTTTTCCGTCTCCAACTGGCTTTACACCCTGGCTTTTTATCGCACAATACTACATAGGGTTACTGCCTACTCTGTAAAAAATACTCTGCTTTTTAGCGGCAACATCTTTTTTTGAGCGAAATGGGTTTAATCGGTACTCAGTAACTTCTAATCTAAAATAATAATAGGGAGATATTGTGTCTCTTGCTTTGTGGAGATCTGTCTTAAGCAGACTGTTGTGTCTCACTCTGGTAATAAGAATAACAGTTCAAAGTGTGACTCGCTGGCCTCTCTCTGGTCTCTCTGGTCTCTCTCTGGTCTCTCTCTGGTCTCTCTCTGGTCTCTCTCTGGTCTCTCTCTGGTCTCTCTCTGGTCTCTCTCTGGTCTCTCTCTCTGGTCTCTCTCTCTGGTCTCTCTCTCTGGCCTCTCTCTGGCCTCTCTCTGGCCTCTCTCTGGCCTCTCTCTGGCCTCTCTCTGGCCTCTCTCTGGCCTCTCTCTGGCCTCTCTCTGGCCTCTTTTTGGCCTCTCTTTGGCCTCTCTTTGGTCTCTCTTTGGTCTCTCTTTGGCCTCTCTCTGGCCTCTCTCTGGTCAGTAAAGTCAATGTCATGACATATTCTTTACTCAGTAAATTGATTGTTGAATATTCTCTAACTCAGTATGTGCAGATGTAGCTCTTTTGTGCCTTTATATGTCTGTACTATTTTCATTATAATATGTAAAGTTTGATTGTAATTGACTTTGGGGGTGCGTTGCTAATAATCTTTTTACTTCAGCTCACTCCTTTTGTGCAGTATTAATACTGTTCAAATAAATAAATAATTAAACAAATAAATATTCTGTGTATTTTGAAATTGGCTTCTTATAAAACCTTCCCGTCTCTGACCCATATGACTTGCATAACGTGGGTTAATCTCTCTGAAGCAGGGGTCTCAATCATAAGTATACATTTAGGGTTTTACAGTATTATGGTATATTTATGTGATCTCTATTTTGTCATAATTATTGCATCAATTTTTTTATTACGACTGCCTCTTTTGGTGCATAAAAGTAGCTCTCCGATTGAAGAAGGTTGAAGATCCCCGCTCTAAAACAATAACTTAAAGTAAAAAGTAAACGTAGAATTTTCATGTTATGGGGTAAAATATAAAGATATCCATTGCCTTCCTGTTTTTGTTCTGTGTTTTTGAGAAGCCAGAAGTGGGGCAGGTGTTGGTGCTGGTTCAGGTTCTGGTTCTGGTCTTGGTAATGAGTGATGTTTGTGTTGCAGACGTGTTGGAGACAGAGGTCCCACTCCAGTCTGAGAGAGACGAGCCCAGAGTCAGCATGAGCAGCCGACACATGTCCATCAGAGAGAGGTCAGAAACACAGCTCTCCCCAGCACCAGCCCCCTGTGAACCTGTGCCTTTTGTATTCCCATGCAATTATACTTTCTCCTTCTTATTGTTTCACTTCAATGAACCCTTTTGGCGCCAGAGGTTTTATCCTAAGAGGCTCAATTTTGACAGTATCATTTCCTTAAAAGTGATGAGAGATAGAGGTTTTATGTAAATGAGAGAAATGATAAGGATAGCCTAAAGTTTATGTAGGAGTGAAATGTACTAATCCAATTTGTATATTATGACCTCATATATAATCGTGGACTTTCATGAAATAGATATAGTTATTTTACTGACGGACACAGATCACTAGGACATGAACACACAAAACTCACATTGTACCATACTCGAGGGTCAGGGAAACGCTTAAACGGTGCAAATCATTGTGTGGCAGGGAGTTTTTATTGAATTTTGACACCCTGCAATCCCGCATATTAGCAACTAAAGTCAACCCAGAGGGTCAAAAAAATTAAACAATGGTTCTTGAAATAAGACTAAAAACCTTTGTCTCATTAGTAAATCTGGCAATTGTACTCGCACTAAGATTTAAAAAAAACGCTATTAAAGCAATTATTACAATCATTACCTCATATTGTATCACTTTTTTCAGCACAGTCATCTCTGAGGACTGTACAAAGTTGTGAATTGGCCAACTACAGATCAGAGAATCAAATCGTCACGGCCCTAACACCCTCCTGCGGTTAGGGGAGAGGACCCACTCAAAAACCAAGTGGGTGGAAAAATGTGAGAAAGCTCAGAGAGAGGGGTCCACTCCCACGGACTGGACTCTAAATGGGATGTGATAGTTCCAGCAGACCTGGCCATGTGCCGGATGAGGGCAGAGGACGGGGCCCACATCAATAATATGGAGTGGTGCTTTAGTCTGTCCGCTATCGACTTATCTGAACACATGATGTAACAGGACAGGCCCAGTCACACGGCCGGTCTGTGACAGGACTCTGGAACAGTCCATGGTGAAGTGTCGCTCGCAGATGAACAGGTTCTTAGCGGATTTCATAAATAGAGTTGAGCCACATTCGCCGCATTGCTTCGTCTTTAGTGTCGTCACGTCTTCTCAAAGTCACAGGCGACAGGAGCAGTAAAAACGACAGAAAGGCAAGTTTATTTTTATAGCGCAATGCATACACAAGACAACTCAAAGTGCTGAACAAAACAAGATAGAAACAATTTCACAAGGCATTAAAATCATAAATAGTCACAGTACAAAAATATATCAAATTGAATTGTTTAACTTTTATTTTCAGTACTTTCACCTTCAAAAACGTCTGCCAAAGTTCCTCTCATGGACAGATAGTAATGTATGGGCTCCTTGGAGCCTGTGGGGGCCCCTGGGAACCTGCTGTAACTGGTCCACTGTGGTCTCAGGGTGGCTTTGCTGAAGAGGAGCGGGGAGGATGACTGGAGGAGCCGAAACAGCAGGAAACAGGAAGTGGCGCAGGTTGCCGAGGGAGACGCCCAGATGCCGGAGGAAAAGCGCGGTCCGAATACCACGGTAGAACCTCTTTAGATCAGCTTTTTCAGACAAACAGTGGCAGAGTGGTTAGCACTTTATCTTGTTTGCATGTTCTCCCCCTTCATTGCTCATTCTCTGCATAGGTGTCCTAAGATTAATATCCTTTATTGGTCCCACAATGGAGAAATGTCAGTGTTGCATCAGCGGTTACAGAACAGTAGGAATGAGGAGCACACAGCACAAGATAAATAAACAGTAGCTGCGTTTCCATTGAGCATCAAATTTTGAAATTTGAATTTGCGCATCATAAAATGTCTAATGGAAACGCGCACATTTCGAATAAACCACAGTTTTTCGAGGGGCGACAGTAGCTCAGTTGGTAGAGCATTGGCCTTTGGGCCTGAAGGTCGTGGGTTCAAGCCCACCATAAGACCTACTTCACGACTCCCACTGATGACTGCTGCCGTTGTGTCCTTGGGCAAGACACTTAACCCCACTTTGCCTGAAGCTCCCACTGAAAGATCTCAGCTCCTGTGGACTCACCACCTGCAGGAGGATCAGTGAGGGGCTGGTGCGGAGTGTACTGGGTGCAGCTCTGACTGCCACCCCCCCGACCCAGAAATGGATTAAGGGGAAGAAAATGGATGGATGGATGGCACAGTTTTTCGATAAAAAGTTATGGAAACACTTATTTCGATATAGCGGAGGAAGCCGAGCTGCTTTATTCAGTGAGTTTTGGCTGCGCTTCGTGTGGAGACTTGGGAGATACGTGGGAGAGACGGGGAAGAGACGGGGAAGAGGCATGGGGGAGAGACGGGGAGAGACGGGGGTGAGGCATGGGGGAGAGACGGGGAAGAGACGGGGGAGAGGCATGGGGGAGAGACGGGGAGAGACGGGGATGAGGCATGGGGGAGAGACGGGGAAGAGACGGGGAAGAGACGGGGGAGAGACGGGGAAGAGATGGGGGAGAGACGGGGAAGAGACGGGGGAGAGACGGGGAAGAGACGGGGGAGAGGCATGGGGGAGAGACGGGGGAGAGGCATGGGGGAGAGACGGGGGAGAGGCATGGGGGAGAGACGGGGGAGAGGCATGGGGGAGAGACGGGGGAGAGGCATGGGGGAGAGACGGGGGAGAGGCATGGGGGAGAGACGGGGGAGAGGCATGGGGGAGAGACGGGGAAGAGACGGGGGAGAAGCATGGGGGAGAGACGGGGGTGAGGCATGGGGGAGAGACGGGGAAGAGACGGGGGAGAGGCATGGGGGAGAGACGGGGGAGAGGCATGGGGGAGAGACGGGGGAGAGACGGGGGAGAGGCATGGGGGAGAGACGGGGGAGAGGCATGGGGGAGAGACGGGGAAGAGGCATGGGGGAGAGACGGGGAAGAGGCATGGGGGAGAGACGGGGGAGAGGCATGGGGGAGAGACGGGGAAGAGACGGGGGAGAGGCATGGGGGAGAGACGGGGAAGAGGCATGGGGGAGAGACTGGGGAGAGACGGGGGAGAGGCATGGGGGAGAGACGGGGAAAGAGACGGGGGAGAGGCATGGGGGAGAGACGGGGGAGAGACGGGGGAGACAGGCAAGACCCGTGTCTATGGTTGTGTGCGCGCGTCTATGGTGAGAGGATGAGAGCCGCAGCAGAAGTCAAGACATTAATATATCTCACGTAAATCAAAGTGTTGTTTACTTCTGTTGCCATGTTGACGTACTAGAAACTAGTGAATAAACGCGCGAAAATAGTGTATACTTATTCGAATATGTCTTAATGGAAACGGCCGCTTTTGCGAATTACAGGTTTTTCGAATTTTGAAATGTATCGAAAAAGTTTTTGCGCATTATTCAATGGAAACGCAGCTAATGACTCAGTGATGGGCAAGCTACTTGATTTGTGAAGTAAGCTAAGCTACAAGTTACTCTTCAATAAATTCAGCTTCACTACACAAGCTACCACCCATAAAAATGTAGCAAGCTAAGCCACAAAATCCTGTCAAAAGTAGCTTGATAAATAGAAGCTACTTTGAATTAAGCAGAGGAAATCCGCAGGACCGGACGGGATCAGTCCCAGGCTGCTGAGGACCTGTGCAGACCAGCTCTGAGGTCCTCAGCTACAGCTCATCTTATCTTAAACAAACTGCAGTCCATGCAACTTAGTGATAAATACAACTGTCAGATAAAGGTAAAAATGTAGATATTTTTTGAACAATAGCCCAAAACACAAGAAGGCCTTTTGCAATTGTAAATAAAATAAATGGAGAAATTATAGCAATAAGCCATTACAAATTAACATGTATTTCATTAGAACTATTTCTTTAACGTTTATAACAAAAGCCCAATAAACACGTAACAAATGTGAATCCGAGCCAATTAATGACTCTATTTAAGCAAGCATAGTTCTTAGCACTGTGCTAAGAACTATGTCTGACTAGTTTAGGAAAACAATCATAACAACCATCATACAACCTTATTATCAGTCACAGAGGAACTTTCTCTTGGGATTACAAAGTAGGCTCTGAAAACATATTTCTGTTTGCTCGTCTCCACTAAAGTGATGTACTTTTGGAGGTATGGCCACGGTAACAGTTTGAGTCCTCCGCGACCGCGGCTCCTGAGCTCTCTGCCGCCCTGTCACTTCCCTCCAGCAGCGCGCGCGAGTGTGTATGCGTTGTCACCAAGGCATGCGCATTAGAATTCTGTCTTCCTAATTTGTTTGTTTGGATGCGGGAAGATGCTGTAATATGTGAACATCAGAAATGTCCGTGAGAAAATAGCTTAGAAGGACGCTACCGCGCTCCTTTCTCAATAAAAGTTACTTGGTTTTGTTTAGTTAAGCTAAAGGTACTGCCCATCACTGCAATTACTCTATACTAAAATAAAATAAAACCTCTAACTTTAATAAAATAAGCTGATGTAAAGTCCATAACTTTAGAGTAAAAACATGCAATAATACTGTGTATTCTAGTGCAAGAGATGTATAGTTGTACTCATCTGTACATGTTAGCAGCATGAGGGTCTGGGACAATAACCTCCAGGTGCCGCGGTGATTGTCCTCGTAGAGTGATGTGTTTTCTGCATTTGACCCATTATTCATTGCCGTCATGATTCATATCAGTTCACTTTATTGACAACACTTTCAATATGTTGTACACTTGACTAATTACAAGCGGTGAACGTTGGAAGATTCAGTAACGGACAGTTTGACGTTCACTGGCCCCTGGTAGCTGCAAAATCTAATAATATTGATTCATCTTTACATAATCCTATTGAGTACATAGTAAATCAGGAAGCTAAGAACGCTGGTATTCATTCCACCTGAAGGTTATCTGTAATACGGTTGTCAACAAATATTATAATAAATTTATTTGAAACAGTTAATCTTTCCTTCATTGGTTGTTCAAAGTAATCAAACCAGAGTCACGTCTAGTTTATGTTTATGTTTATTTAGTTTTAAGGGAAGGGAAGAGCATTACCTCATCACTCGACAAGATCATGGGTAAAGCAGAAAGGGGAAGTTCTTTGTTTTCTTTGCAAACGTTGAATATCTAACGTTAATGGTGTTTTTGACTGATGTGGCTGAGCATTATTCACATGTTGGATATTTCTGACACTTTTAATCGTACACAGTAACTTTGCCAATTTGATAGAAACATATTTCCTGTCCAATTGGCCAAAAGTCCTTGTTTAAATGAAAAGTGTTGAAATTAGTCAGAAATATTTTGAAACCTGTGAAACCGTCTCGTTCATAAAAGAGTCAAAGCCACTGAAACTGCTTCACTTAAGATCCTACCTCCTCAAGTCACGTATGGCTCGACAAGATTCAGATCTCTATAGTGTAGTGTGTTTTCAGTGTGACTTTAGCTCTGTCCTGAACACCACGTCCTAACACCTGTTCGCTGTCTCTGGGTTTAGAAACACCACCAACTCCTCCTCCTCCTCTTTTCTTCTAGCTGTAGTTTCTCTTTGAGGATTTCCAGGAGCTCTTTGTTGCAGGCAGGTGTTTGTGTAGTTGTATTGTTTCTCAGCAGTTTGGACACCTCAGTCCACAAGGCCTCGGTCTCCTCCTTCTTCGTTTGCTGGGCCTGGTTGAGTGCAGTCAACTCATCTTTCAGAGATTGCACTTGTGCAGACCTCTGTGTGATTGAATCTAGGAGATGCTGGGCTCGTTTATCTCTATTAATCACCATTTGTTTAAGTTTTCCCCTGGATTCCTTAAGGCTTTGTATCTCCTCACGCGCAGCCTTTCTGGCGTCCTTCACTTGTGCAGTAAAAGCAGCCGCCTTTTGCCTTTTCAGATCTTCAATCTCAGTGTCCTTGGCCTCCAGCTTCTTTCTGTGATCCTTCTGGACCTGCTCCATCCAGTATTCGCACTGAGCTTGGTGACGTGCTTTAAAGGCTCTTATCTGTTCTCGTTCACCTTCGAGCTCCTGTTTGAGCTCCTTTACCTGCTGCAGCAGACCAGTCTGGGAGGTCTGAGCCTCTGCGGTGGCCTGCTCCTGCTGGTCCAGGGCTGATCTTAGACCGGACACTTCAGTCTTCAGCTCGTGTGTCTCTCTCTCCTTCTCCTGCAGTTTTCTCTCAGCTTCACTGGTGAGACACTTCCTCCGGTCCAGGGCAGATGTGAGGGCGGACACTGTAGTTGACAGAGTCTGCGTCAATGTCTGTAGTTGCTCCACTTGTCTCTGTGCTGTGACTATGGCCTGGTCTTTTTCACTCAGACGTGACTGGAGTTGGGCCACCTGACTGTCGAGTGACTCCTTCTCCTGCTGCAGCTCCTGTTGAAGAGCTGAGACCTGGTTCCTCAGAGCGGTCCCCTGATGGGACTTCTTGGAGATGACGTCCAGGAGAGTCTGTGCACTCTGTCTTTTCGGACCAGCATTTCTTGGAGGACGATGTGTGCTTCCATCAGATCACGTCCATTTTCCTCCACAGCTTTCCTGGCCTCCTCCACCTGCTCATGGAAAGCATTGGCCGCCTTATTTTCAAGACTCAAGATTACTTTGTCTTTGGCTTCAAGCTCTTTCTCGTGCTTATTCTTCATTTGCTCCATCCAGTGCTCACATTGGGCTTGGTGACGAGCTTTGAAGGCCAAGATCTCCCCTGGATCTCTCTCTACTTCCTCTTTGAGTTTCTGGATCTGTGCGAGGAGCTCCTCTTGGGAGGCCTGGTGTCTCTGCTGTTCCCTCTCTAACTCCTGCTTCAGCTCATGGTTCTGTCTGAGCAGAGTTTCAGTGAGGGCCGGGTCCTGCACACCCTTCACAGTGTGATCAGTGTCTGTTGTGTTCTGAGACACCGATGCTTCTTCAAACACTGCTCTCATCTGTTTCCAGCGCTGATTCTGGTGCTGGAGGCTACCGTCGTAAGACTCCATTTTGCGTTATGTGTCTGTTTCTATATCTCCGTATCTCTGTATGTGACACTGTGTCTCTGGGACTCTCTTCTGATCTGAAGGCCTTCACACCCATATGAGCTCAGAGATTCCATTTAGTGTTCTGATGATGTCAAACCTTCTGTTACTATAGCAACAACATGTATATAGAACATATATGTTGTTTCCATGGTTACACATGGAAACAAGATCTATATCTCGAGATAATAATAATATTGGCATGTTTCCAATGTATGTTTGTCAGATGGATTCTGCAAAATTTAATAGAAAAATTGGGTTCCACTAGTAAAAGTAAACAGAAAAAATTGTGTATGAATCGTTTCTGTATAATATATAACTATTTTATAAGACTAGGAGAAATAACATGTGGTCCTTCCAATTCCAAACAGAATTGAATCAACCCTTTTCTCTCAGGAGAAGTGTTGTAGTAACGCCCATCTCCAGGTGTTGTTGCCCTTGGTCAGGTTTATCTATTGTACATGTTTCAGAAACCTAGGCACCTATGCAGACACAGGGAGAACATGCAAACTCATTTCAGAAAAGCCTTCTCTGGTGTCCTGGTCCCTGACATCAGACCTTGTCCTGGGTCCTTTGCCCTCTCTCCTGTCCTCTCTCCTGGGTCCCCTTTCCTGTCTCTCCTGTCCTGTCTCCTGGGTCCTCTGTCCTGCCTCTCCTGTCCTCTGTCCTCTCGCCTGGGTCCTCTGCCCTGACCTCTGTCCTCTGTCCTGGGTCTTCTGCCCTGACCTCTGTCCTGGGTCCTCTGTCCTGTCTCTCCTGTCCTCTCTCCTGGGTCCTCTGCCCTGCCTCTCCTGTCCTCTGTCCTCTCGCCTGGGTCCTCTGCCCTGACCTCTGTCCTCTGTCCTGGGTCTTCTGCCCTGACCTCTGTCCTGGGTCCTCTGTCCTATCTCTCCTGTCCTCTCTCCTGGGTCCCCTGTCCTGTCTCTCCTGTCCTGTCTCCTGGGTCCTCTGTCCTGTCTCTCCTGTCCTCTGTCCTGGGTCCTCTGTCCTGTCTCTCCTGTCCTCTCTCCTGGGTCCCCTGTCCTGTCTCTCCTGTCCTCTGTCCTCTCGCCTGGGTCCTCTTCTCTGACCTCTGTCATCTCTCCTCATGGTCTGACGCCTGTGTCCCTCTCTAGTCACTTGACTCCTGTGTCCTGGTGCTTCTGTGCTCATGGTTCTCCTGTTCTTTCTGCTGTCGTTTCCCTGTCAGGACATCCCATGTCTCGGAGCTGTCCCTGTGGACGACTTGCACCCCTGGAGACGCAAGGTGATCACTGTCCTCTGTCCTGTGTCCTGTCACCATACTCTTTCAAGTCGCTCCCAAAGAAATTCGTTTATATGAATCTTCTGAATGGATTAGAATAGTGTATTATTCACACCGTGCACAAATAGTAAAAACATTTAATGTATTCTCTCTTCTGCACTAAAACCAGCTCTTTAGATTTGTTTCAATCACTAGAAGACCAGGCTGTTTGTGCTAGAAATGGCTTGATGTTAGATTCAGATTCATTATATTTGCCATTTGCAATAAAACTACATTGGAATACATGTGCAAAAGTTCCCAGTGTGCAGCCGACAAAGGCATGAATAAAATTAAAGAGCACAGGAAACCATTGTCACTGTGAAATCGAAAAAAAAACTGTTTCAATACAAGTGCAAGATCATAACAGCTTGTGGAAAGAAGTTCTTAGCAAATCCAGATGTCCTGTATCTCAGTGAACGATATCTTCTGCCAAAGGGAAGAAGCTGGAACATGGCTTTTGCAGAAGCCAAAAGAGTCATTGATTATTCTTAGAGCTAGGTTTAAGAGTCAATTTTTATAAAGAACTTCCAGAACAAGCAGTTCACAGCCCTCTTTCAGAGCAGAGCATCTTTCCCCAATCTCTCTTTGGTCTCTCTTTCTCTTTGGTCTCTCTCTCTCTTCTCTCTCTGGTCTTCTATTTCTGGTCTCCCTTCTGTCTCCCTTCGGTCTCTCTCTCTGGTCTGTCTCTCTGGTCTCTCTCTCTCTCTGGTCTCTCTCTCTCTGGTCTCTCTCTCTCTGGTCTCTCTCTCTCTGGTCTCTCTCTCTCTGGTCTCTCTCTCTCTCTGGTCTCTCTCTCTCTCTGGTCTCTCTCTCTCTCTGGTCTCTCTCTCTCTCTGGTCTCTCTCTCTCTGGTCTCTCTCTCTGGTCTCTCTCTCTCTGGTCTCTCTCTCTCTGGTCTCTCTCTCTCTGGTCTCTCTCTCTCTCTGGTCTCTCTCTCTCTCTGGTCTCTCTCTCTGGTCTCTCTCTCTCTGGTCTCTCTCTCTCTGGTCTCTCTCTCTCTCTGGTCTCTCTCTCTCTCTGGTCTCTCTCTCTGGTCTCTCTCTCTGGTCTCTCTCTCTGGTCTCTCTCTCTCTCTGGTCTCTCTCTCTCTGGTCTCTCTCTCTCTGGTCTCTCTCTCTGGTCTCTTACACTGGTCTTTCTCTGGTTGGGTCTCTCTTTGGTCTGGTCTCTATCTAATCTCTCTCTCTTTGGTCTCTCTCTCTGGTCTTCCTCTTTCTGGTCTCTCTTCTGTCTCCCTTCGGTCTCATCGGTCTCTCTGGTCGGGTCTCTCTGCTCTCTTTGGTCTGGTGTCTATCTAGTCTCTCTCTGGTCTTCCTCTTTCTGGTCTCTCTTCTGTCTCCCTTCAGTCTCTCTCTGGTCTCACAGCTCTCAGTCCTCTTTCAGAGCAGAGCACCTTGTTCATTGCTCTTTGATGTCACTGAACCCACAAACTGTCAATGGTGCAGCGTTTACTAAAGTCATGAATGATGTCACATGCCGTAACTGTGTCTTCAGCGCGTCGCCGCCGAGGTGGAGCCGCAGATTCCACCCACAGAGATGTCCATCCAGGAGCGCAAGCAGCTGATCAGAGAGGCGGCCTGGAAGAACCAGGGCCACGGCGCCGCCAACGACTCCACGCAGTTCACGGTGGCGGCCCGCATGGTCAAGAAAGGTCCAGTCCCTTCTATAAACTCACACATGCATGTCCCCAGGTCCACACTGCAAAAAGTGATAACAAATATGTAAAAAATTGCTCATATTTGGCTAAATGTATTTTAGTTTGAGCACAATCTGCCTGCTGTAAAACAAGATTTGCAGTATAAGCTAAATTATCTTGTTTGAAAAAGACACAAGAAATGTCTCCCTTGGAAGTCACAGTCAAAATGTCCTCAAATTAAGATAAAAACCACTAGATTCAAGCCTTTTTTTTTTTTTTTTGCAGTGAAGTCTCTTCTGTACTCTGACACAGACACATGGTCACCAGTCCAGCTCACTTTCAACATTCACTTTAAGTAAAAACAACATTTGGATATTTTTGAAAGGAGGATTTAAAAAAAAGCACATACTAAAAATCAAAAGTGGTAGATCAATTAGTGCTGTTTTTGCAAAAGCTCGATGTCCGGCCATGTCCTGCACCTCGAGGAACAGTATCTACTTGCTTTCCCAGCACAACATTATTTGAGCAGGTTCCTGGACTTCATTTTCAGAACTGCAGAACTCGCTCTATCTATTCTTCACTCTATCATTTTGGTTCTTGCGCAAGTTTTCAAGTGGTTTGTGTTTTTGGCCTCAGTCACTTCTTTAGATCCCCTTTTACAGACACAAAAGTGAGGTGGGACAGTCCAATATTGACTCACCGGGAAAACTTGTGAGACCCTTTGAGTCGCTATTTGACTGTCCCTGCTCTCACGGTTTTTGACGCGTGTTGTTCTGACATGACACGTGTGTAAGAGTGTGTTTCTGGATGGCTGTACTAAAGCTGTGTGTTGTGTGTCCAGGCCTGGCCTCTCACTCTGCTCTTCAGTCTGCTGGTCCCACCAAGACCAAGACCAGCTGTGCCACCATCTCCAAACCACAGGAAGGTGAGTCCCTGTCCCATCACACACATACAAACACACACACACACACCGACACGCAGACACACGCACGCACAGACACACACACGCTTTGCTGTTATGACAAACATTTGGAGTTTGAATCATTCTGTTTTCTGCTGCATGATATTTCTGTGACCTGTGATCTATGTGAACAAATACGAGGCCTACGGGTCAAACAAATACAATTCTTGACAGTATAATTGAGAAATTATTTTTTTGTCCAAATAATCTTTCGTGTTATTGATGGCTGTGATCTGACGAGAAAGATCCATCCAATTTCTTCCTCTTTATCCGGTGCCGGCAGCAGAGGTTGCAGTCTGAGCAGAAATGCCCAGGCCTGCTGAGACGCTCCAGTGTGTCCTGGAGGTGTTCAGGAGGCTTCTCAAAAATGTGCTCGACCGCTTTAATGTTTGGAGGAGCAGCAGCTCTACTCCGAGCTCCGCCCACACATCTGTTCAGCATGATTGATGTGACTATGATGGGACTGTTGGACTGTGTTGTCATTGTTGTAATATTTCTCCTACACTTCTTCTCTTCTTTCTCTTGAAGCCAAGGAGGAGATGATTTGTGCTGAAGGTGGACTCTTCTTCTTCTTTCACTTGTGTGTGTTACCGTGGTGATTGTGGTGATTGTGGTTATTGTGGTGATTGTGTTAACTCACTCCTAGTTCCTAGCTACTTCAGAGTTGGGGGGACCTTAGCTGATGTTTAAAGGGAGGTGTGTGGAGTAGACACTTTCAGACAACGAAACACTTCTCCAGCTTCTTCAAAATTAAACATCTATCCATCGCTGTTCTTCTGCTTTATCCGTTACGGGTTGTGGAGGCAGCGGTCTGAGCTGAGGCGCCCACACTTCCAGCTCATCTGGAGAGATCTAGAGGCGTTCCTGGATCAGCTGAGAGACACAGTCCTGTCAGTCTGCCCTGGGTCTTACCTAGGGTCTCCTCCAGCTGACTCCTCTCGTTGTGGAGGAGCAGCGGCTCTACTGAGCTAGTGTGGGTTGAGCATGTAGGAGCAAAGCATTATCTATGAGCATTTTCCTATTGGGCTTCATTAAGCATTCTTTGAGTGGGATAGCATTGGATAATGCTAACCCGCTGGCTCAATGGGTATTTTTTAGGCTAAAAAGTGATTCAAGTCCTACTGTACTCTACTCTACGAGGGCAAAGAGGGTTAGAGGAAAGCACAGATCAGAAAGCAGAACCAAGTAGGGCTGGTGGAAACGCGGCTATTGTGAGACTTAAGCAACTCTGAACCCTGGACTGAAGTGAAGCTTTTTGTGCAGAGATCAAGGCCGATCCGGACCTCAACCTGGAGTCGGACGAGAAGCTGGACAAGCTGGAGTCTTTCCTGGGAAAACTCAACCATAGAGGTCAGCCAGTGACTGGACAGATGCACTCATCCAATTAGCCACATACAACCATATATCCCTTGCACTATTATATACTAATTGCTTAATATGCTAAGGTAGAGATTTTTTAGTATAGACTAATTAGTCACTCATCTTGTACTGTATGCTCCTCCTTCCTCCTGTAACTGGTGATGCAACACTGAAATGTCCCCACAGTGGGACGATTAGAGGATCTCAGAATCAGTAATTTTTGTCACGTTGATGTTGTCATGTTGAATGTGGTGTGTCCAGGGTTCGCCCCGGAGCCCACGGTCAGCGTGACGCAGCTCCGAGTCAAGGAGGTGATGAGTCTGGAGGACGAGACCTTCTCCAACTTCTACAAACACGTGGAGGAGCTGCCGCTGGGAGAGCATGTGGAGCTGGACCAGGACTTCGACGCCATCTTCGGTCCGCATCTTCCCAAGTACGAAGACAGGCAGAAAACACAAACACACACAAGCAGTTCTACAATCACCTTATTGGTCAACGTTACATTTCTTGTGTTGAACTTTGATTCTCTGATCTGTCTTGGCAAATTACTAATGCCCTTACCCATCCTGGGTGTGACTCTAGAGTCAATAATGAGAAAGTGTGTCCAAACTTTTGGTCTGTACTTTACCTGCAAACTCAGACCTCTCTTGTCTTAGTATAATGTACATGTGGACTCAGAGCACAGTAGAGCAGCTAGTGACGTGCATTGTGCCACTGCCCTCTGGTGGTTTAAAATAAGTCAACTCAATGCAACTCTTTTTTTTTTTTTTTTTACCAGAAATGGGAACACTGGGTCTTGATGTTAACTAGGACTAGGCAATAAATCAAATTCTGTGAGGAATGTTGTGTTGTCAGGCTGACGTCGGAGATGGTGGAGCACAAGCGCTCGGTCCGCCCTGTGAGGAAGGTGCAGTCCTCCAGGAACCCGCTGAAGAGCCTGGCCTCCAGAACAGACATCCGCCAAGAGTACACGGAGTCCAGGCTGAACGTGGGGCTGCTGGAGAGCCAGAGGATGAAGGAGGACAAGGGTGAGTGCACGATACACACTTTGGACTCTGTCTCCTGCTATTGTACTACTACTGTAGAAATACTACTGTCTGCAAGTCTTCACAACTCTGTGCTGTTGCCAAGTTGAACTGATGAGTGAAAATATAAGAATGAGAATGAAACATGAGAGAGCATTGGACTCCAGTACCTTGCCAACCCCTTTCAAGCAGCTCCCCAAAGTGATCAGGAATTTGACACATGATCCTAAATGATTACATGTCGAGTCATTGCAGATCAAACATGTTATCATGCAAACTAAACATGTTTTTATTATGTTCACTAATGTCGGATTATAGAGTACTAGGGCATCTTTGCAGTGAGTGTTGTCCATCAATTTCTGCCGTTTTTATATTAGTAGTTTGTTTATTGCTGCAAAAAAGTCTCTCTCTGCCACTGTTGCGTAAAAGTAGCTCTCTAAACAAAAATTGTTGAAGACCCCTCAGGTTGAGGAAACCTCAAACGGATGTCTCTTTGCTGGCCTGGGAATGCTGCCCCAGATGGGCTGGAGGAAGTTTCTATTCTGACTGCTGACTCTGCGACGGATAAAGTGAATGGATGTTGATGTGTGTGTGTGTGTCTTTGCACAGGGAGCAGCCGGAGCGGCCTGTCTGAGGTGGCCTTGGCCGGGTTGGCAAGCACAGAGAGCTTCAGTAATGTCTGCCTCAGAAGTGTCAACATCTCTGAACATGTTTCCAACAACAGCGCTGTGCCCTACAAGAAGCTCATGCTGCTGCTGGTTAAAGGTCCGGGAACACACACACACACACAGTTATGGACACACACACACACACTTATGGACACGCACAAGTCTGTAGATTCATCTCCAGATGCTGATACCTTTGGTTAGGACCAGAGCTGGAGGATTCAAACTTTGGTACATGTTTAATATACTGTACAGTGAGAACATGCAAACTCCACTCAGAAAGACATAGTTCTGACCGGGATTCGAACCCCCCTGTGTGTATCCAGGCCGCCGTCACGTCCAGACCCGGCTGGTGGAGCCCAGGGCCTCGTCTCTCAACAGTGGGGACTGCTTCCTGCTGCTCACGCCGCATCAGTGCTTCGTGTGGATGGGAGAGTTCGCCAACATCATCGAGAAGAACAAGGTCTGCCCCACGTCTGCCCCTCGTCTGCCCCTCGTCTGCCCCTCGTCTGCCCCACGCCTCTCATGTGTGACAGTTGTTGCATCCCAAACTCCCCTCAAACGTATATGTCAAACTAAAGTTACGCACATAACTCTGGTTCTATGAAAGGCGGTCGTTTGGGATGCATGAGAACAATCTTAAATGGAGCAATGGGTTTGATGGCGACTGTGCAACAAAGAAACCGTAAACTTCTGTTAATGTCAGATTCAATACAAAGTGAAAAACCGTGGGGCAGGTTCAATGGTTTTCTCGCACACTCACTGCCATCTCTTTTTCTTTCTTGTCTTGACTGTTTTTCTCAGGCGTCTGAGTTGGCAAATTTTATCCAGAGTAAGAGGGACCTGGGCTGCCGAGCGAGCCAGGTGCAGGTGATCGAGGAGGGCTCCATGGGACAGGGCCCCTCCGACCGAGACTTCTGGAGGACACTGGGGGGCCAGGACACGTACCAGGGTGAGGAGGCTGGACTCACACATCGGACCTAATCACCGCTGCCTCATGAACATAACACAAGATTCAAGATTAATTTTATTTGCCATTTGCAGTAAAACCACATTAGAATACATGTGCAAGAGTCCCTCAGTGGGCACCAGACAAATACATACAGTTAACAAAACAAGCTGTAAAGTACAGGAATAAAATAAGCTAACAAAATACGGAAACAATTGTTCTTCAATTTCACAGTGACAATCAAAGAGCTTTGTTTATTATGATAACGTGTGGAAAAAGCTGTGAGCAAAACTAACTCTTCATCAATGGTCATCTTGCATACAAACACATGAAGCAAAGGGCAAGTAAAGCCATCCGAGGAGCCGTCTGCACTGGGAGCAACAACAACACAGGATTCTGTGTCCCCTCCTGGAGAGAGGACACAGTGCAGAGGGACACACTGAAAACACTAAACATTTCAATATAGTTTTGTTAAAGGACAACTCACCCTCAAATCCACTTTTTTTTGCTGATAAACGGTATAAATGAGTGTCCAATAGTGTTGTCTACATATCCTGGTCATAATCTTGTCACTTTGGTGCAAATTAGTTGAAAGTTAGACTTTCTGCCTAAAACCGTCTGTGAGGCGCCATCTGCTGGCGACCTGTATTACTACAATTTAATTTTGAATCTGGCGCCAACACTGGCACAGAAGTTGGACCTGACGTCTGCAAGTTGGACCTGACGTCAGCAGCCCCCCGCCCAGAGCAATGTAAACGGCCCAGTCTCGTTCACGCCCCCTTTAGTCCTCCAGGCTACGCCCATTTAGAGGAAGATTTGAACAGGAAATGTGGGTAACGTAAGCTCCGAGGAGCGGGGGTGAGAACCACTTTAATTGCAGAAATTATGGGATTAAGATTAAGAATGTATTTTTCCCACAGTGTCCTCACTGTGTTTCAAGTTTCAATGTTACAGAACTAACTTTAGCATAATAAAGACGTATACAATATATTTCATTTCATTAGTATAATATAGAAGCAAATCTATAACTTTACCCTTAGTCTTTTACCAGATTTAAGAACTCTTTTATCCCTATTGTCCTTGGTATTTTGAACCAAGCAATGTAATTCTGCTGTGTATTTATTGTTCCATTGATTGATAAAGTTTAACAATTGTAGCCGCAAGCAGCGATGAACGACCCACGCTCTCGCACCTCTCCCACCCGCACTGTTGTTGGCTGAGGATCCGTGGTGTTTGTGTTTCAGGGGCGGGGACTCCGGACGAGGACGAGCTGTACGAGGCAGCCATCGTGGAGACCAACTGTGTGTACCGACTGAGCGAGGACAAGCTGGTGCCCGACGACCTGTTCTGGGCCAAGATCCCACGCTGCTCCTTGCTCGCACCCACAGAGGTCAGACACGGCAACAGTCCCACGTGATTCTGTGTGTCCAGGGCGGCCGCGTCACTCTACCCCTTTACTTCTAGATTCACATGTCTCAGTCACACACTCAGAAACGTGTGCGTTTGTTTGTCCATTTTCTAATTTCAAAGTCAAATTTGACAACTTTAATCTTGTCCAAAGTGGTATTTATATTCTCTTTAAGTCATTGTTTTTTTTCAAACCTTTTGAACCCCCAATGGCAAAACGAGGTACAAAAAATAAACCACAGCCCACAGTTTGAAAAAGAGGTGGACGAAGAAGATTAATTTTTGGTTCCAACCCCTCACTCATAAAACAAGCACACAACCACAGAGAGAGAGAGACGGAGACTGAGAGAGAGACGGAGACTGAGAGAGAGACGGAGACTGGGAGAGAGACGGAGACTGGGAGAGAGACGGAGACTGGGAGAGAGACGGGGAGAGAGATGGGGACAGGTTGAATAGCAATGAACAGTCTACAGCTGAAGTCATAATGATGACTGATGAATTATATTATATATTGGGCCATATCATGTCAGATCTGGCTCAGTACCATGTGCTCAGTACCATGTGCTCAGTACCATGTGCTCAGTACCATGTGGCCAGTACCATGTGGCCTGTACTACGTGCTCGGTACCATGTGTGTGCTGCAGGTACTGGTCTTTGACTTCGGCAGTGAGATGTACATCTGGCACGGGAAGGAGGTGACGCTGGCCCAGAGGAAGGTGGCGTTCCAGCTCGCCAAGCACCTGTGGAACGGAACCTTCGACTATTCTAACTGTGACATCAACCCCCTGGACCCGGGGGAGAGCAACAGCCTCATCCCCAAGTGAGTGCACACACGCACGCGCGCACACACGCACGCGCGCACACACGCACATGCAAACAGACGCACAATCACACGTACAGACGCACACGTAAGCACACACAATTCTCACACACACAGACGCACAATGACACCTGCACACATAGACGATCACACATACACTGATACACACAGACCCACAGGTATAGACACACACACGCAAGTATGCGCACATAAACACACACACTTTTTCTCCTCATAATTAGTGAGTCTTTAAAAAAAAAAAAGATGCTGAATTTGTTGTGACCAGATCTGACTCAGACATGCCCACTTCTGCCTTAGTGAGATTTCCACTGGTTGTTTTCAGGAAAGGCCATGGCAGACCGGACTGGGCCGTGTTCGGGCGCCTCACGCAGCACAACGAGACCACTCTGTTCAAGGAGAAGTTCTGGGACTGGAGCGAGAGCAGCCGGCCCCTCCCCATTAACATGAACGAGCAGCAGCTCAGGAGCAAGGTCTGTGAGCTGCAGCCACGGACTGACATCAGGCATACAGCCCCGTTTCTACTTACACTACTCTACCCTGCTCGGCTCGGCTCGACTCGACTCGACCCTGCTCGACTCGACCCGACCCTGCTCGACTTGACTCAACCCTGCTCGACTCGACTCTACTGATGGCAATGAATTCATTTATGTATTGTATTGATTAATGTATTATTTATTTTGAATTTTTTGGAGTACACTCGTCTTAACTGGGACCCCAGGAAGATTAGCAACCACATTGGTGGAAGCTAATGGGGATCCCCAATAAACAATAAACAATGCTCGGCTCGGCTCGGCTCTACCCGACTCTACCTTGCTCTACTCTACCTTGCTCTACTCTACCTTGCTCTACTCTACCTTGCTCTACTCTACCTTGCTCTACTCTACCTTGCTCTACTCTACCTTGCTCTACTCTACCTTGCTCTACTCTACCTTTCTCTGCTCGACTCGACTCTACCCTAAAAAAGAAAAATATATCTATTATCATTTACCCTTGGTGCCGTTTCCAGCTGAGGATCCAAACATCGGTGGTTGTGTGTTTGCAGGAGCAGCCCCTCTCTCTCCCCCCTCGTGCCTACAGCGCGGCCCGCATGCTCCCCCCTCACCGCGCCCCCGTCTGCTCGGTGCTGGACGGCTGTAACGTGGGCCGGGGCTGGGGGCTGGTGGAGGGGGAGGAGGGCAGGAGCCACGAGGTCAGCACTCTGGGGGTGGAGGTGTGGCATATCCTGGAGTTCGACTACAGCCGCCTCCCCCAGCAGAGCATCGGCCAGTTCCATGAAGGAGACGCCTACGTGCTCAAGTGGAAGTTCATGGTCAGCGCCTCAGGTCGGTCTCCTTCAGGGTTTCCTCCAGGTGCTACGGTTTCCCCCACCTCAAAATATATATTTGTTGTGGGTTAGTGCACTCTCCCACGTGCACTCTTTCACATGCACTCTCACATGCATTCTCTCACGTGCGCTCTCACATGCGTGCGCTCTCTTGCACTCTCTCGTGCACTCTCACATGCACTCTTGCGCGCTCTCTCATGCACTCTTGCATTTTCTCACATGCACTCTCTCTCATGCACACTCACATGCACTCGCCCACGTGCACTCTAACATGCACTCTCTCTCATGCGCGCTCTCACATGTGCTCTCTTGGGCACCGTCTCTTGTGTGCCTACGTGCTCAAGTGGAAGTTCAAGGTCAGCGCCTCAGGACGGTCTCCTCCAGGTTTTCCTCCAGGTGCTCCGGTTTCCCCCACCACTAAAAATATAAATTTGTTGTGGGTTTATTAACTTTAGCTTAAAACACTTTTTAGCATTTTGACTGCATTGGCCTCTCACTCCTGAACACTGTCTAAACATACTGTATGTCGAGATTGTGTGTTGTGAATAAAAGGCAGTGGTTGTGTTGCAGTGGGGCGCTGGCAGAGTCTGGAGCCCGTCAGGACCTGTGTCCCCGGGAAAGAGAAGTGTGTGTACTTCTTCTGGCAGGGACGATGCTCCACGATCAGCGAGAAGGGGACGTCTGCTCTCATGACGGTGGAACTGGACGAGGAGCGAGGGGCACAGGTCAGTGGGACCATCACACCTCCTGCTTAAAGGAATAATGGAGGATTTTCTACTTCTTGGTGGATCATCAAGACTATTGGTCCTCCTAACTGTCAATCATTCTGGTGATACCTGCTCGTCAAATAAGACCAGAGAGTTTTGTTCATTTGGGTAAGTCCTCCTGTATAGCTTTAAGCTATTAGATTTATTTTTGTACATCCCTAAATCACAGCTGTCATTGGGAGGACTTGACAACATTGTTGATTTGCCAACACAGATCAGAGAATCAAACAGTTACAGAATCAAATACAAGAAATGTAATGATGACAAACACATAGTATGTGGCGTCTGTGTAAAGCATGTGAACCCCTGTCCCGGGACTAATTCAGGACAACTGTGTGTTCAGTTGTGTGTTGACTGTTGTGTGTTTTGCAGGTGCTGGTGCAGCAGGGCAAAGAGCCTCCCTGTTTCCTGCAGTGTTTCAAAGGAGGCATGGTGGTGCATTCTGGGAGGAGGGAGGAGGACGGGGACTCGACCCACAGTAAGCCCAACTCTCAGCTCAATCTGTGGACTCCGCACACGTGGCCTCAACACACCACACCTCCAGGCTTTTTGCTTTGGTACAGTTTTGAATGTGAAAATAAGATATTAAAATGAAAGACAGAAATCTTCTCATAACCAGATGTAATGTGCTCTGATGTGATGTTTGTAATGTGGGGAGAATTCATTGTAGCGCGGGAGAATTTTCCGGAGTAAAAGTCGCTAAACTTCCCATAATGAGTAAGTGTGGGTGTCTTCAGTGTCCATCATCATCATCCTACTCCTCATGTGTCCCTGTGCTCAGACTCGTGGCGTCTGTACTGTGTGCGTGGGGAGCTGGTGGAGGAGGGCCACCTGCTGGAGGTGAGCTGTCACTGCAGCAGCCTGCGCTCTCGGGTCTCCATGCTGCTGCTCAGCGTCACCCAGTCTCTCATCTACCTGTGGCACGGCTGCAAGACCCAGGAGCACACCCGAGAGGTGGCCCGGAGCGCGGCCAATCGGATCAAAGAGAAGTGAGTGGGCGTGGCCAATCCGATCAGGGAGAGGGGGTTTGTGCCCAATCGTATCAGAGAGAGGACGGTGAGCAATTGATAAAAAATAAGTCAAAATTGAAGCAATTCATAGGTTATTGTTTGCAGTGAGAGGAGAGTGGGGCCAAAGAAAAACCAAAGTTCACTGTAATCTGCTCAAAAATGTTACACTAGTCTATTCACAAAAACAGTAGTATTTCTCTAGCTACAACCTTCAACATGTTTTTTTGCACTTTTGAATTAATACAGAGGGGTAAACATTTATTTGTATGGCACTAAAATATATCTGACTTTCAAAAACTTCTTGGTAAATTATGGTATTGGTAAAACGTTTTTTTTTTTTTTCCTAATGGCATTTATCTGTTTTTGTAAATAAACTATTCCTTTGTTCTTGGACGTGCAGTGACTGTTGTTGTTGTGTCCAGCTGTCCTCTGGAGACCGGCCTGCACAGCTCCAGTCGGGTCACGGTCCTGGAGTGCGAGGAGGGGGCGGAGCCTGCGGGATTCTGGAAGGCTCTGGGCCGACGGGACAGGAAGGCCTACGACTGCATGCTCCAAGGTCCAGCTGCAAACTCTCACGTGCACTCTCTCACATGCACCCTCTCATGCACACTCCCTTGTGCGCTCTCTTCTCCAAAATCCCTATATCCACTTTAGATCCAAGTTGTTCCACACACAACAGAAATGTAAGTATCTGTCTGGGCCTATGTGGTCCCCCTTGGTCCTGGTTCTATCCAGGCCGAGCTGGTACTAAACTGTTGTAAATACCATGTCACCAAGAAGTGTGGTTAGCTGTGGGTAGGATACAGCACCAGATACTAAAGCGTGATGGAAACACAACTAGGTAGAGTAGAGTAGGGCGCTGGTGGAAACGGGGCCATAGATGTACTGTAGGGTGTAGTGACTTTGAACGATACTAAAGAAGCAGAAACGGCCCCAAACAAGTGCACATCGCCCTCTTCTGGTGGAGTTGTATCACTGCGTCATTCCATTAGAATAGTTCCAGACTCCATTGTCGTCATTTTAAATACGACGCACATGCACAGACACGCACATGTACACGCACATGCACATGCACACGCACACGCACACGCACACGCGCGCACACACTCCATCCCCCTGGTCCTAACCACAGCTCTGCTCTGGTTCAGACCCGGGCCGCTTCCACTTCACCCCTCGCCTGTTCCACCTCAGCTCCAGCTCTGGGGACTTCACTGCGGTGGAGCTGCTGTACCCGGCCAGGGAGCCTCAGCGGATCAACCCCATGCCCTTCCTCCAGGACGACCTCTATCAAGCCCAGCAGCCAGGTACCAGCAGTGAGGGGTACCAGGGGTTAGGACTAGAGGTTAGGGACCAGGGGCCGGGAACCTACCGATCTAGTTTGGAAGCTCTGGAAACGCTCTGGAATGGGTTTTGGATATTAATATCTGTGGCGCCTCCTGCAGATCAACATGTGAAAGCCAAATCCCGTCAGACCTCTGATGCTGTAAAGGGCAGGGCTTGGTCAGTACTTTGATGGGAGACCTCTGGGAACACCAGGTGCCAAAGTGGGGCTGGTTAGTGTTAGTGGGAGGGGCCTATGACACAGACTGGTTTCCTCGTTTCTGTCAGTGTGCCCCAGGGCAGCTGTGGCTACCATAGTATTTTATCACCCCCTTGTATGGAGTGAATGAATAAGGGCATGTGAAGTGTCTTTGAGCGTACCATGTGTAAAGCTGCTGGTGTGTCCTCAGGCCTGTTCCTTGTGGACAACCATCATGAGGTGTACCTGTGGCAGGGCTGGTGGCCGCAGGACTCCGAGACCGGATCGGCCCGAATCCGCTGGGACCAGGACCGCAAGTGTGCCATGGAGACGGTGCTGGACTACTGCCAAGGTAACTAGCACATGCTCTTCTCTGAACCTCTTTCTAGGCCCAGAACCAGTCCTGAAGAGGTCAGAAAGTTTCAATAACGAAGAAGAAATGTACACAAGTGGAGTATTACACGTGATCTAACAATAAGGTTCTTCACACTTTGTGTTCTGACAACTCTTCCATAACAAAAACACTCGCAGCCGCAGCGCTATATAAGCCGCAGGGATCAAAGAACTAGAAAAAGTAGTTGCTTATGGTCCAGAAATGACAATATATTGTTAATTACCAATGACTACACATTCTTATTAGAGGCTTCAGCCCTTTAACCTCTGACCTCTGCTTTAGGGAAGTGTGAGCAGAAGCCCCCGAAGGCCTACCTGATCCACGCCGGTCTGGAGCCTCTGACCTTCACCAACATGTTCCCCACCTGGGAGCACCGCGAGGACATCGCCGAGATCACAGAGAGGGTGAGAGGGGGGACCGTGGTGATGAGAGGGGGGGGAGTCGCAGGGGTGAGAGGGGGAAGAGTTGCAGGGGTGAGGGGCTGCAGCGGTGAGAGGGGGAGGAGGCGTAAGCGCTACTCAGCTCTACTTGGTTGCTGTTTCCAATGCGCTTTAGTAACTGGTACTGTATCCTAGCAACCTACCCACCACACACCAGTATCTGGGTAAATTCCTTGGTAACCATTGCTTCCAGCAGCACTCGGGCTAGGTAGAACCAGGACCAAGAAGGACTAAAGAAGGACCTGGTACTGGTTAAACGGGGCAGGTGGAAAGGCTCTGGAGGGGGAGGGGTCTCAGGCGGAGCTTCTTGTCCTGAATCCTATCCCTGTGTGTGGCAGGAGGCAGAGGTGTGTCAGCAGATCATCCTGGTGCAGGAGGTGCTGGCCCGCCTCTGCCAGAGCACATACCCTCTCTCCCAGCTGCTGTCCCGCCCACTGCCCGAGGGAGTGGACCCCCTGCGGCTGGAGCTGTATCTCTGTGAGCACGACTTCCAGGTGCGCCACACACACGGGACCCTACTGTTCTCACACTCGAGAACTGGTGTCTGTTTATTAACAAAAGAAAAAAACCAACACTACACTACTCACTCGAGTACGTACTCACTCACTCACTCACTCGAGTACGTACTCACTCACTCACTCGAGTATGTACTCACTCACTCACTCACTCGAGTATGTACTCACTCACTCACTCACTCGAGTATGCACTCACTCACTCACTCGAGTATGCACTCACTCACTCACTCACTCGAGTACGCACTCACTCACTCACTCGAGTACGCACTCACTCACTCACTCACTCCAGTACGCACTCACTCACTCACTCACTCGAGTATGCACTCACTCACTCACTCACTCGAGTATGCACTCACTCACTCACTCACTCGAGTATGTACTCACTCACTCACTCACTCGAGTATGTACTCACTCACTCACTCGAGTATGTACTCACTCACTCACTCGAGTATGTACTCACTCACTCACTCACTCCAGTACGCACTCACTCACTCACTCACTCGAGTATGTACTCACTCACTCACTCGAGTATGTACTCACTCACTCACTCACTCGAGTATGCACTCACTCACTCGAGTATGTACTCACTCACTCACTCGAGTATGTACTCACTCACTCACTCGAGTATGCACTCACTCACTCACTCACTTGAGTATGCACTCACTCACTCACTCACTCGAGTATGCACTCACTCACTCACTCACTCGAGTATGTATGCACTCACTCACTCACTCGAGTATGCACTCACTCACTCACTCACTCGAGTATGCACTCACTCACTCACTCACTCGAGTACGCACTCACTCACTCACTCACTCACTCGAGTATGTATGCACTCACTCACTCGAGTATGTATGCACTCACTCACTCACTCGAGTATGCTCACTCACTCACTCACTCGAGTATGCACTCACTCACTCGAGTATGTACGCACTCACTCACTCACTCGAGTATGTACTCACTCACTCACTCACTCGAGTACGCACTCACTCACTCACTCGAGTATGCACTCACTCACTCACTCGAGTATGTACTCACTCACTCACTCACTCGAGTATGCACTCACTCACTCAAGTATGTACTCACTCACTCACTCGAGTATGCACTCACTCACTCACTCGAGTATGTACTCACTCACTCACTCACTCGAGTATGCACTCACTCACTCAAGTATGTACTCACTCACTCACTCGAGTATGCACTCACTCACTCACTCACTTGAGTATGCACTCACTCACTCACTCACTCGAGTATGCACTCACTCACTCACTCACTCGAGTATGTATGCACTCACTCACTCACTCGAGTATGCTCACTCACTCACTCACTCGAGTATGCACTCACTCACTCACTCACTCGAGTATGCACTCACTCACTCACTCACTCGAGTACGCACTCACTCACTCACTCACTCACTCGAGTATGCACTCACTCACTCACTCACTCGAGTATGCACTCACTCACTCACTCACTCGAGTACGCACTCACTCACTCGAGTATGTATGCACTCACTCACTCACTCGAGTATGTATGCACTCACTCACTCACTCGAGTATGCTCACTCACTCACTCACTCGAGTATGTACTCACTCACTCACTCACTCACTCGAGTACGCACTCACTCACTCACTCGAGTACGCACTCACTCACTCACTCGAGTACGCACTCACTCACTCACTCGAGTACGCACTCACTCACTCACTCGAGTACGCACTCACTCACTCACTCGAGTACGCACTCACTCACTCACTCCGAGTATGCACTCACTCACTCGAGTATGCACTCACTCACTCGAGTATGCACTCACTCACTCGAGTATGCACTCACTCACTCGAGTATGCACTCACTCACTCACTCACTCACTCGAGTATGCACTCACTCACTCACTCACTCACTCGAGTATGCACTCACTCACTCACTCGAGTATGCACTCACTCACTCACTCACTCGAGTATGCACTCACTCATCACTCGAGTATGCACTCACTCACTCACTCGAGTATGCACTCACTCACTCACTCACTCGAGTATGCACTACACTCACTCACTCGAGTATGCACTCACTCACTCGAGTATGCACTCACTCACTCGAGTATGCACTCACTCACTCGAGTATGCACTCTACTCACTCGAGTATGCACTCACTCACTCGAGTATGCACTCACTCACTCGAGTATGCACTCACTCACTCGAGTATGCACTCACTCACTCGAGTATGCACTCACTCACTCGAGTATGCACTCACTCACTCGAGTATGCACTCACTCACTCGAGTATGCACTCACTCACTCGAGTACGCACTCACTCACTCACTCACTCGAGTACGCACTCACTCACTCATAGATACTTTAGTGATCCCCGTAGAAGTTCACCTCCTACGGGGATCTGCGGGTGACCATGTGACATGTTTTATTGTTTTATTTAACCATGAAAGTCCCATTGAGATTAAGAACCTCTTTTTCAAGGGAGTCCTGGACAGAAGTTACATACATACATATTATAAAACACTTACATATCATAAAACGGTTACATAAAATTTCATAAAATTACGGATTATAAAAAGTTACATTTCACTGAACAAGTCTCAATCTGGATTTAAAAGAATTCAATGAAATAAGTTCAGATAATTTCCAGTCTTTTTGCAACACGTTCCATGTAGTATGAGCAGCATGTGCAAAAGCTTTTTTATCCCAGTTCTGTGCAAAAGGAACAAAGGGCAACAAAAGATCATTTGATCCAAACCATATGAACCAACCTCTTTGTGCGAGTAAATGGCAGATGTATGAAGGCAGCAGACCAAGCATAGCCTTATAAATGAAAGTGCACCAGTGTCCAAACCTTCTGGTGGACAAAGGCCATTCCCCTCGAGAATATGATTCACAGTGAGTCAAGGCTTTACAGTTTGTAATGAACCTCAGAGAAGAATGATACAAAGTGTCAATCTGACGGAGACTTTGAGTTGAGATATTCATTTATATCAGGTCTCCATAATCTAAAATCGATAAAAATGTTGCAGTAACAAGCCGCTTTTTCACATTAAAAGAAAAACAAAATTTATTTCTGAAAAAGAAGCCCAATCTAAGTTTGAGCTACTTTGCAAGATTCTGAATATGGGGTTTGAAAGTGAGGGTGTCATCAAGCACGATACCAAGGTATTTGTACGTATGAACAATCTGACATTTCCCTCTAATGTGGATTACGCAGGAACAGACTGAGGTCCTTTTTCACGTGTGGGTGACCATGTGGCCTATGTGTGACCATGTGACCTGTGGGTGACCTGTGGGTGACCATGTGACGTATGTGACCATGTGACGTGCGGGTGGCCTATGTGTGACCATGTGACCTGGGGGTGACCATGTGACGTGCGGGTGACCTGTGGGTGACCATGTGGCCTATGTGTGACCATGTGACCTGTGGGTGACCATGTGGCCTGTTGCAGACGGCCCTGGACATGAGCAGAGAGGACTTCTTCAGTCTTCCCGGGTGGAAACAGGTCAACGTCAAGAAGAACAAAGGTCTTTTCTGACCCCTCCCTCTTCACTGCACTAATAATATTTATGTCTAAAGCATTTTGTTTGAAGCTGAACCATAATAAAGTGTATTATAATAATTTTTCTGTTATAAATGGTTTGTAAATAGATGAAAATAGGTGAATGCTGCTGCAGGACTGATGTGCCTTGCTTTGTGTACAGTTTCTACCCATTCTAGACTTTATGATACAAAAGAGAAATAAAGATTTATTGAAATAACAGACGATTTGGTCTTTTCTTAAATTCAGTCTGAGCTCTGAGCTGCAAAGACTTATTCAGTGGAGGAAATGGGACGTCAGTAAATGTACTGCCCACATTCTGCTGCAGGTGTGTCACATGACCACCAGAGGGAGCCACAGAAGCACGTTCCAGAGGCCACGCAACATTATCTTTTACCTTGATCTTTAAGTTTATTTACGAACATTAACGCTTTATTTCTACAGCGTTTTTCAGACCAAGGACCTCAGTATTTGACGTTAGTACAATTTATGAAAAAAGGAGACTCTTTACCTCCACAGCTATGAATTAATATGGACGTTATTGATCTTTATTTGAAATGCGTGTGTTTGTGTATTTACAATACGTAACGAAACATTGATCTGTTATAATTCAGCAGAGTATTTAAAGTTGATTTACATTTTGTATTTGATGCTAAAACTTTATTATTTATTTATTTTAAATGTTCAATGTGTCAATCCTGTGGACTATTATCAGGTGTAAAAAGTCAGGATAGTCTCATGAACCTTTGACAGCAGATCTCTGGTTCTTTCTCCAAGAGCAGCATTAGAACCAGAGAACTATCAGTGTAGTACAAACACTCCACAGGAAGAAGGTGTTGCTCAGGAGTTCATCCTCTTCTTCCTCCTCGTCTCCTGTAGTTTGGACGACAGACTGACTCTTATTGTTGATCAGATGAAACAGTCGAGTGTCTCCTGTTTCCATCCGTGTTTTCTGTTATTTAAGTAAGTAATCTTTATTTATATACCGCCTTTCACAAACCAGAGTCACAAAGCTGTTTACAATTATTATTTTTGCGCAATTGTCTCTCACTCCACACCGAGATGGGAGCGGGGTTTTGCGGATTATTTTCTCTTTAATAATGTCACTGAACCTTGGCTTCAGAGACTCCATCATAAAACATGTGGAGCACAGTCCATTCACAAGCTGACTCAGACTGAACAAGACAAAATCACACACAGCATTAAAATAAATGAAATCCTCCAGTTTCAGCAGAAAAAGTGTTTTTAACCTGGATTTGAACGTTGTCAGAGAAGAAGCCTGTGTCACATTTTCAGGAAGACTGTTCCTTGTTTTAGCTGCATGAATCTGAAACACTGCCTCCCCATGTTTAGTCTTGACTCTGGACCAGCAGGAGGCCAGTCCCTGTGCTCCTCAGTCCAATTTAATTACATTCAATGTTCTTGTGCACCGCTCTAAATCAACAGCAGTCTTCTCAGGACTGAACAAAGTTGTCAATTTGCCAACAACAGATCAGAGAATCAAACGGAAATGCAATATTAAAAACACACAGGAGCCATTGGTCCATATAGAGCAGGATGACTCCAGTAAAGGTTTAACCAACAAACCGCACACATACATTCCTTGTTTGTGTGGAAATAAAAACATGATAAAAGGAGCGGAGCCACAGCGTCTCAAAGCGGCCGATATGGAAATCCAATGCATTTTAAACAGCCGTGAATCTCCTGCATGTGCACAGTAAGTCATCCTGTCGCACACACACTCCCTGCATCAGCTCAGCTCGTAAATAAGCGGGCTGCCTTCATCCACACGGGGCCAGCACAGGACGTCCCAGCTGCGGCCACACGGGGGCGCTCTGCTCACGACCGGGGTCCTCTGACGTCCTGCGATTGAGGATTTGAAGTGCTCAGGAAATGTCTGTTTCACCTATCCCCTATCCCCGCCCCCTTCTCTGCTCTCACTGTGAACAACATCATAAACGTCATAGAACTGCTGGGACATGTCATCTTTGAAGTCACTCAAGTTTCTCTTTGGTCTCTGGTCTCTCTCTGGTCGCTCTCCCTCTGGTCTCTCTAGTATCTCTGGTCGTTCTCTCACTGGTCTTCATCTGGTCTTTTTTTAGTCTCTCTGGTCTCTCGCTGGTCTCTTTCTGGTCTCTGAAGTTTCATCGTTGCACCATCGACAATTTGTTGGTTTTGTGACTGCGGTTCGGTGACATCACAGCCAAAGAAAGGAGACCAGAGAGAGACCAGAGAGAGAGAGACCAGATTGTGAAACCAGCAAAAGACCAGAAAGGCACTAGAGGCTAGAGAGAGACCAGAGAGGGAGACCAAGACCAGAACCAGAGAGAGAGACCAGAGAGGGAGACCAGAGAGCTAGATAGGCTAGAGAGAGACTAGATCATATTTCTCCTTTAAAAGCAGCAGGTACAGAACATGTGGGTGCTCCTGGCTGCTGCTGCTTCCGGGGGCTGATGAGGTGGAGGGGGGCGGTCACCCTGGGGAGAGATTATCGCTGACAGCACAACAAAGACCTTCCTCCCTCCACCTCTCACCCCCCTCCCTCCTGTAGGATCAGCGGATATACAGCGGTGCCCACTTTACGTTTACAGCTGAGGAGCAGAAATGAAAGTGAGGCTAATGAAGTGCGGCCCTGGCACCGGAGCGGATCCAATGAGCTTATGCAGAGCTGGCACCGCGCTCTCATCCTTAACCCCAGCACGGCAGCTGAGTGGTTAGCACTCTCTCTTCTCAGGTTTGACAGAAGCTGGGTTTGAATCCCGGTCTGTTGTTGGCAAGGCTCCAGAGAGAGAAACCAGAGAAGGATCAGAGAGACCAGAGAGAAACGCAAGCGAGTCAACAGAGAGATCAGAGAAGACAAAAGCGAGACTAGAGAGAAGGAAAAAAGGATATACTTTATTCGTCCTCGTACCGTATCTTCTGCATTTGACCCATCTCTGTTGGAGCAGTCTATCAGGAGCAGTGGTTGCCGTAGTAACAGTGGACCCATCTCCAGAGGTTGATTTTACCTTTATTACATGTTTTAAAGGTACGGGAAACCATGGGCTCTGAGCAGAGGCCCCAATGGAGATGGGTCAAATGCAGATGACACGTTTTGCTAAAGGGACAAAGTAAATCCTTCTTTCTCTCTCTCTGGTCTCACTTGTCTCTCTCTGGTTTCTCTCTCAGCAACAACAGCAGATCAAAGAATCAAACTGTTCAAATTCAAAAAGTTGAGGATGAAAAGAGACACTAATGTTCTTTCTCTGAGGACGAGCTGTTTTACTGAACACTGAGGTCTCTGTGGCTGCAGTACCACAGACGGCCTGTAGTCCATGTGGAGACTGGTTTAAGCAGCAATTCTCCTAGCTCCAAAAAAGCTATGAAGCTATGATGGACAAAAGTTGAATGACAACTTTTATCGGAGACAAATCAATAATTGAATTTCAAAGAACTAAACTTGTCAAAACCACGACTCCTGAAATATCCTGGCGATGAAAAGCTTCGTGTTGTGTTCGCTCCACGTCAGGACGGTGTAATGACCTGAATCTGTTGTTTCTTTGCGTCTCTGTGTAAATATGTGTCGTCTGTGACTGATGAGAGCGAGTGGGTTTCTGACAGAGCCTCGTCAGAGCAGCCTCGGGGCGCACACTCTGCTCACAGGAGGATTTCAGGACCTTCAAACGCTCTCCGCCACATGACTGACTGCTGCTTACATCATACTGTCCATCACGCTAAGTCCTCCTGCAGTGACCCAGGAGGAGGCCCAGTCCTCCTGCTGCAGCGACCCAGGAAGAGGCCCAGTCCTCCTGCTGCAGTGACTCAGGAAGAGGCCCAGTCCTCCTGCTGCAGCGACCCAGGAAGAGGCCCAGTCCTCCTGCTGCAGTGACCCAGGAAGAGGCCCAGTCCTCCTGCTGCAGCGACCCAGGAAGAGGCCCAGTCCTCCTGCTGCAGTGACCCAAGAGGAGGCCCAGTCCTCCTGCTGCAGTGACCCAGGAGGAGGCCCAGTCCTCCTGCTGCAGCGACCCAAGAGGGGGCCCAGTCCTCCTGCTGCAGTGACCCAGGAAGAGGCCCAGTCCTCCTGCTGCAGCGACCCAGGAAGAGGCCCAGTCCTCCTGCTGCAGCGACCCAGGAAGAGGCCCAGTCCTCCTGCTGCAGTGACTCAGGAAGAGGCCCAGTCCTCCTGCTGCAGCGACCCAGGAAGAGGCCCAGTCCTCCTGCTGCAGTGACCCAGGAAGAGGCCCAGTCCTCCTGCTGCAGCGACCCAGGAAGAGGCCCAGTCCTCCTGCTGCAGCGACCCAGGAAGATTCCAGACCTGAGAATAAACTTTTTTTTTACCACAATGACGCTCTGTCACGTAGAGCCCTATGTCCTCGATCCAGAATCAGACGATCCTTATTTCGTTCACAGGTAACGAGTTAGTAGCACTGTCCTTACAGATCTATGCCTCGTTAGCGTCTTTTATTGTGGGAGTAACACCAGGATTCAAGGTCAGCTTTTGGCTAATAATGCATCAGTTTTTTACAGCACTTTTCTGGACGCTCAAAGACGCCTCACATGTCATTATTCATTTGCAGTTTGGCACTTTACAGCCGCAGCCGCCCCACTGTGGCACCTGCTGTTCCCAGAGGTGAAGTGTCTTGCCCAAGGACACAATGACAGCAGACATCAGTGGGAATCGGAAAGTCTTGGGCTCAAACCTATGACCTTAAGGCTCCAAGGCCAATGCTCTACCAACTGAGCCACTGTTGCCGCAGACTAAACCCAGTTTCACGGTATCTTAGTTCTGGAACAGTTCAATTAAACATTTGATTAACTTTATTCTTGTAAAGATCTAATGAGGAGAGGATGGTGCTTAAGTTACCATACTTCCCACAGAAAGTTTTGCTGCCTCTCGATTATGAAAGAGAAAGATCGCTCTCTAACTAAAGCTTGAGGGTCTCTGATTTCTCTCTGGTCTCTCTCTGGTCTCTTTCTGGTCTATCTCTGGTCCCTCTCTCTGGTCTCTCTCTCTGGTCTCTCTCTCTGGTCTCTCTCTGGTCTCTCTCTCTGGTCTCTCTCTCTGGTCTCTCTCTCTGGTCTCTCTCTCTGGTCTCTCTCTGGTCTCTCTCTGGTCTCTCTCTGGTCTCTCTCTCTGGTCTCTCTCTCTGGTCTCTCTCTGGTCTCTCTCTCTGGTCTCTCTCTCTGGTCTCTCTCTCTGGTCTCTCTCTGTGCTCTCTCTCTCTGGTCTCTCTCTCTGGTCTCTCTCTCTGGTCTCTCTCTGGTCCATCTCTGGTCCCTCTCTGGTCTCTCTCTGGTCTATCTCTGGTCTCTCTCTGGTCTATCTCTGGTCTCTCTCTGGTCTATCTCTGGTCTCTTTCTGGTCTATCTCTGGTCCCTCTCTGGTCTCTCTCTCTGGTCTCTCTCTGGTCTCTCTCTCTGGTCTCTCTCTCTGGTCTCTCTCTCTGGTCTCTCTCTCTGGTCTCTCTCTGGTCTCTCTCTGGTCTCTCTCTGGTCTCTCTCTCTGGTCTCTCTCTCTGGTCTCTCTCTCTGGTCTCTCTCTGGTCTCTCTCTCTCTGGTCTCTCTCTCTGGTCTCTCTCTCTGGTCTCTCTCTGGTCCATCTCTGGTCCCTCTCTGGTCTCTCTCTGGTCTATCTCTGGTCTCTCTCTGGTCTATCTCTGGTCTCTCTCTGGTCTCTCTCTGGTCTCTCTCTGGTCCCTCTCTGGTCCCTCTCTGGTCTCTCTCTGGTCCCTCTCTGGTCTATCTCTGGTCTCTCTCTGGTCTATCTCTGGTCTCTCTCTGGCCTCTCTCTGGTCTCTCTCTGGTCTCTCTCTGGTCCCTCTCTGGTCTCTCTCTGGTCCCTCTCTGGTCTCTCTCTGGTCCCTCTCTGGTCTCTCTCTGGTCTATCTCTGGTCTCTCTCTCTGGTCTGTTACGCAGTTATGAAAGAGAAAGATCGCGCTCTAACTAAAGCTTGAGGGAATTGATAAAAAACCTCAAAGCGTCAAAAAATGAAACATGGGACCTTTAAATGATGGAAGTACTATTTTTTAAGTGTCATTCATGCGGCCTGCGGGCCAAATCCGGCCCGCCAAGAGATTTGACACGGCCCACGGCTCATTTATGTAATGTATGTATGTATGTATAAAATGATAATAATGATAATAATAATAATGATAATGATAATGAAATAAATAAAAATTAGTAATTCTTATTTGCGAATGAAACTGCTTGGTTTCATGCAACAAGTGGCGGTGCTGAAGGAATAACATCTACAAGACTCGGCGATAAATACGGCACTTTGAATTGAGAAGACAGAAGATAAACGTGTCTGGCCCTGAAGAAACAGCAGTCTGTGCCCAGAGCGAGAGGTTAGTGCTGCTGCGTTAAAGGGAAGCTACCTGAGTGCTAACCATAACATGGCATTAGCATCGCAGCCGCACAGTGAGGGAGAGTTTTTAAAACTCTTATACAGACTGTGTCCTGAGAAACCACTCGCTTTTTCCAACATCATGTTGCCATTGATAAGAGACTGATGTCGCATATTCATTTGTGGTGTTACCGAAACTATCACAGAGGAGTTTTGATCGCTGCTGCTGCTGGTTCTGTTGCTGGTGTGTTGGACAGAGTGGACTGGTCCTGCGCTCTCAGCCTGGTACCGATGGTAAAAACAGGTGTAGTGACAAAGCTGCAAATGGAGGTGATGATTTTTGGACATTTGACTGTATTTTACACAGAGACACTGCTGCAGTTAAGAATGGATCACATTATGGAAGTAGTTTTGTTCAATTCAACTGAATCAGGGTCAGTTTGATGCTTTCTCTCTGATAATAACATAGCCATGGACCTTACCACACTGAAGATGGTTAATGTGACAATAACAAAACCATGGACCGTACCACACTGAAGATGGTTAAGCTGAGGTGCTGTGTTAAAGTGCTTTTTTCTGTCTACTTTACCTTTGTGAGCAAGTTTTCTCTGTAATAAGCCTTAAAACAAAGCTAACATACAAATATTAGTATACATATTGTGAAATACCATTTTCAATGTAATATTGTAAATACATTACATTATTTGCACTATGGAAAACTCACTGTTACATTTAAGTTTGTAACAGAAAACTTAGTATTAAAGGACAGTGTTTTAAAAGAAGTTTTAAATAAATGTGTTTATGTGCACAAAAAGTTGGACTTTGTACCGTTTTTGGATATTTTTGTAGAGCATCTGGTCCGGCCCACTTGAGATCAGATTAGGTTGTATGTGGCCCCCGGACCAAAATGAGTTTGACACCCCTGATTTACACTGTTCCAATCGCGCTGCTGCTCCCTCCCAGGGCCCGCGGGTGTGATGGTCAACACTGCTTCTTTGTCCGAGCGCTGGCCTCTGCTGGTCTTTCCCACCCTCACAGAGCAGGGGCCAGCTGCACCTGTTCAACGCCTTCAGTCTGAGCTCTGCCACAGGACACACCCACAACCACACAGTCACACAACCAGTTTTATTTAAGAATTTGGTTATTCTTACATTGGCACTCTCCGGTCTTTTTCTCTAGTCTCTCTCTCTCTGGTCTCTCTCTGGTCTCTCTTTGGTCTCTCTCTCTGGTCTCTCTCTCTGGTCTCTCTCTGGTCTCTCTCTGGTCTCTCTCTGGTCTCTCTCTGGTCTCTCTCTGGTCTCTCTCTGGTCTCTCTCTGGTCTCTCTCTGGTCTCTCTCTGGTCTCTCTCTGGTCTCTCTCTGGTCTCTCTCTCTCTCTGGTCTCTCTCTCTGGTCTCTCTCCTGTTGTTTGAGTATGAACTAACTATGAAACCAAAGTGCAACTGAACATCATAAACAGTTCCTCAACATTATCAGAGACAATCCTCAGTTGTAGCAGAGAAACTGTAGAACTGTTTTGAACCTGGATTTGAACATAATCAGAGAAGAAATTGATTCATCTCCATAGTTAGACCTGACTCTGGGACCAGCAGGAGGTCAGTCCCTGTGCTCCTCAGAGTCACAGCAGGAGGTCAGTCCCTGTGCTCCTCAGAGTCACAGCAGGAGGTCAGTCCCTGTGCTCCTCAGAGTCACAGCAGGAGGTCAGTCCCTGTGCTCCTCAGAGTCCCTTCATATGCGGGCCGAATGAGGCCTTTTTCTTACTTTGATGTGGCACTGACACAAAGTAGTGTCATCCAGCCAACTGAGTATGGTGATGTTGATGATAATAATAATCTGGACACTCAAAGACGCTTCACATGTCCTTATTCTTTCACTCCATACACGGTGGTGATAAACTACTACTGTAGCCACAGCTGCCCTGGGGCACACTGACAGAAGCGAGGCAACCAGTCTGTGCCATCGGCCCCTCCGACCACCACCAACCAGACTCATTCTAGGCAATAGGGGTAAAGTGTCTTGCCTAAGGACACAACAGCAGTTCCGCACTTCACAGCCGCAGCCGCCCCACTGTGGCTGGTGGTCCCAGAGGTTAAGTGTCTTGCCAAGGACACAACGACAGCAGACAGTGGGAGTCGATGGTGAAGATCGGGCTCGAACCCACGACCCTCTGGCTCAAAGGCCAATGCTCTACCAACTGAGCTACTGTCGCCCATGATGGGGATGATGATGATGATGATGATGATGATGATGGGGATGATGATGGGGATGATGATGATGATGATGGGGATGATGATGGGGATGATGATGATGATGTGATGATGATGATGATGATGTGATGATGATGATGTGATGATGATGGGGATGATGATGATGTGATGATGATGATGGGGATGATGATGGGGATGATGATGATGATGGGGATGATGATGATGATGGGGATGATGATGATGATGTGATGATGATGATGGGGATGATGATGGGGATGATGATGATGATGATGATGATGATGATGGGGATGATGATGATGGGGATGATGATGATGATGGGGATGATGATGATGATGTGATGATGATGATGGGGATGATGATGGGGATGATGATGATGATGATGATGATGATGGGGATGATGATGATGGGGATGATGATGGGGATGATGATGGGGATGATGATGATGATGATGATGATGGTGAAGTGAGATGTGGGAGTGTGAACGTGAAGCAAACTCATGTTTTGATGGGGTGTAGATAATCGGCTGCTGCTGCACTGGGCTCTAATCCCATGAATATGGAACAGAGTGGGTTTCACTTATTTACATTCGTTTAGAAAATCCTCAAATGTAAAATATGTTTATTCTGTGACGTTAGAAGCAGCAGAAACCAGTGGGAGGCATCAAGTGGTGGAAGGTCTGGAATGAGTAGAGAAGCCATAGGAGACGTATCCTACTCTGAGGAGCACAGGGACTGGCCTCCTGATGAGACTGAGGAGCACAGGGACTGGCCTGATGAGACTGAGGAGCACAGGGACTGGCCTGATGAGACTGAGGAGCACAGGGACTGGCCTGATGAGACTGAGGAGCACAGGGACTGGCCTCCTGATGAGACTGAGGAGCACAGGGACTGGCCTCCTGCTGGGACTCTGAGGAGCACAGGGACTGGCCTCCTGATGAGACTGAGGAGCACAGGGACTGGCCTCCTGCTGGGACTCTGAGGAGCACAGGGACTGGCCTCCTGATGAGACTGAGGAGCACAGGGACTGGCCTCCTGCTGGGACTCTGAGGAGCACAGGGACTGGCCTCCTGATGAGACTCTGAGGAGCACAGGGACTGGCCTCCTGCTGGGACTCTGAGGAGCACAGGGACTGGCCTGATGAGACTGAGGAGCACAGGGACTGGCCTCCTGCTGGGACTCTGAGGAGCACAGGGATTGGCCTCCTGCTGAGACTCTGAGGAGCACAGGGACTGGCCTCCTGCTGAGACTCTGAGGAGCACAGGGACTGGCCTCCTGCTGGGTTCAATGTTCACGCTTTTAGAGGTCGGGGAAACCGGAGCGACTCATGGCACAAACTCACTCTTCCAAATCCTAACTTCTTGGGAACATTCCACTAAAACAATATTCATTACAGCTGTGCGTCATGTTAGATTTAAAACTTGCTTTGGTCGAATGTCTCACTAACTCTCTTTCAACTTTACTCATAAAGCACAGATGAAGATATTTTCTGAAGACAGAAGAGAGACAACAGAAACGAGACTACAGAAGCGAGATGACAAACTCACGTTGAGCCTCCGTCCATCACCTCCTTCACTCTCAGGCAGAGACGACTTTCTGCTGGACTCAAACCCAGGACCATCTTTCTGTGAAGCTCAAGCGCTAACCACTGCACCACTGAACATCACAACAGTAGTAATCTCGGAGGACTCTACTCAGCTGTCGCTAACACATCAAACAAGTCAAACACAGAGCCATTGGTCCTTCATTCTCAAAACACTTTTTTGACCAGGGTCCCTCAGTTTCTCTTCACGATCTACACTTTGGACTTCACAGTCAACACACACACGTGCAGAAATTCTCCGATGACTCCGCCTTTGTGTGCTGTGTGTGTCTGAGGGGAACGAACTGGAATAACGGTCGGCACGGAGGAGAATTCTACTCCTTTGTCCGTCCAAACAGCCATTAGCAAAAGTGCATCCCAGACCTCTGCATTGTTTGTCCTTTTCCTCACGCGCTCTACAAATAAAGTTTTATTGAGAACACTTTCCACACTGTTATCATTAGATCATTGATAATTGCACAAAAAGTATGATAAATCTTTGAGGTCTTGGTGTCATCCAGCCAACTGCAGCATGGCTAATAACGGAATATTACACTTTCAGACCACTTTGACACAGGCTTTCTCTCTGAACTGTACATCTCTGTGACCTGTGTCCATGAGTTGGACCCTCTTCTGTGTCTTTGTTTTTAAATCTGACTTGTTTGTGTATTATTTTTCTCTGTATGTTTTAAATGAGCAGCGCTTTGTGATCCTGGTCTGTGAAAGGCGCTATACAAATAAACTACTTACTTTAAACTTATTGTAAGATTATTTTACATAACAAAGCTCAGAGCCTGTGAATCAAGTGGTTCACTGGTGTGACCAGGTGAGGGCGCTGTGGTCAGCGGCGAACACAGAGGTCATACTTCTGTGACGTTGGTGATTCTCTAAACTTTATATCACTGCTCTATGCCACAATGACAATACATTTTTATCTTGAATCTACATTTTATGTGAACTTCATCATTTCCACATAATGTAGTCCTGAGGAATATGACGACAAAATGGTTTAAACAATAAAAGGCACGACAAGTTTATTTACATGGAACATTAAAAAGAGTGAAGATAAAATCTTTCAGTTGTTTTCAGGAAGACTTTTCCAGATTTTAGCTGCATAAATCTGAAACACTGCCTCTGCATCTTTAGTCCTGACTTTGGGACTAGCAGGACACCAGTCCCTGTGCTCCTCAGAGTCCCAGCAGGAGGAGGTCAGTCCCTGTGCTCCTCAGAGATCCTCCACAGATGTACTTTGGTACACCCACAGCTGCTTCAAAGTTTCTGCGCCACATTAAAGTTGATACTTTTAGTAAAAACCAGTCCATTTCCATGACTCCAGATGCACCGGAGCCTCTTCTCTTCCCTGTGGGTGATCTGAGGTGAAGCTGCTTGGATCTTCTGCAGAACAATGGCCCTCCACCTTCTCATCTTAGCGGCTTTCGCAGCTTTCTCGGGGCCACAATAGAAGGCAGTGCTCCCCGCTCGGATGGTCCCGGTGGTGGTGGGCGTTGGGGGAACTTCAAAGGCAGACGCAGCCTTTGTCCCGGGCTGTAATCGCGTTAGGTGTGACCTGGCTCTCAAAGGGGCTCTGCAGAGATGAGTAATAAAGCCTTACCTTAAAACCCCCACGCGGCCTCTCTGCGCTTTAATCTGACAACAACCACACAACACAAGCTCGGATCGGGCGCCCGGCGTTTTCACGGACATATTCTGAACCAGGCAACAATGTAAACGAGGGGTTTGTTAAGCGCCGGAGACGGAAGGCAGTAATGAGACATCACAAGTTAATGTCCGGGTTTGGAAAGAGCAGTAAGCAGCTCATAGAAGTTCTACCGGAGAGCATGAGTTTCACCAGAAGTTACACCAGAAGTTTGTTCAAAAGTACATGGGAGGATGTACCAACATTTTAGGAAAGAACCGCCCGCTCCACTTTTTGAATAAAACTCTCTGGTCTTGTTTGAAGAGCACATCACCAGAATGATTGACAATTAGGAGGACCCACCCGGAAGTAGAACATCCTCCTACACACCTTTTGGGCTTTGTTCGTCTTTCACAACTGGCAATATGTCAATAGAGTGAATCACATGGGTCAAAATATTTCAATACGTCAAAATGAAAGGACATTGTGCTCTGTGTATGTTTATCATGTTTATCCCTGTCGTGCTTAGCCCATTTCAGAACAGGTACTCTCATATTGCTAGCAGTTTCTGATTGTTTTTATTGATTTTTCAAGACCCACAGAATATTGTGTACTGTGACTATCTGAAATCTGAGATTCTGAAAGAATCGACTGTCTACTTTCATCAGCAAAAATAATTTTGTTTCGTTCCCCTGTAATCCCTGTCAAGTAGAGGGAAGTTTTACTCAAATCACCGGTCTCAGACAAAAAGAGGCGCAACAAGTGCATCCTGTTTTCAAAACATCCAGACCCAGCGCTGCTGCCACCTGCTGGCTCGATGAAATATGCTCTAAAGCTAATCCCTGTACATATTAGATATGATAGGCATCTGGGAGCATGAAAATATCAAAAAACGCCTTTGACTACTACTACTATTGTCTTTGATGGCAGACAATGAGTTAAATATGTGGTGCTATGGATCTTTTAAGACAATTTTGATGCAAACTGAGCTTAAATTACGACGGTAGAAGTCAGTGATTTCCATCGCAATGTTTTGGTTCTTGTTTTTGGTTGGTTGAAGCTAACGCTTCTATTGGCGCCGTGGCAGATGCTGAGAGGAGCGTCCATGTTTTGTCTTCCATGTTTTTGTCTGCCATGTTTTTACGGTCGATCGTGTCTGGTCGTGTCTTTTCGTGACCTCTGCCTCTTTTGTCATTTTAAAACTGCCCCTAAGTCTTACCCGTTTTGCCCCACCCTTTCTGCCTCTTAGCCCCACCCCTTCTGCCTTTTAGTCCCGCCCCTTGGCTTAGTATCACTACAGCAGCAGTAGATGCAGACTCAGGCTGAGTTTACACGGAGACAATGTGGCAGTAAAACGGTATAGTTGGATGTCGGTTTCTACCAACCGTTCATACGAAGACAGTGTTCCAGGTGAAAATGTAAGTGTTCAGATCCAGCCAGCAGAGTGGGACAACTCAGAAACGCTGCACAGCGGGGGCTCTCTTTCACACCCGCGAGAGGGTATTAGGTGTGAAATCCCCCTCTGCTCTGACCCCCACCTCCGCCCTGCTCCCCGCACGTAAATTTGGACATGCGCAGTAGCGGAGAACCAACATCAACAACAATGGCGGCGGTCGCACTAACTAGCTTCGTGGGCTTCCAGCGCTGCACAGAGGATAATTCTACACCTTCGTTCTTCCAAACGAGACCACGTGAAGCTCTAGGTTCAGTTCCCATTTTCACAGCTGCTGTTAAAATGCAGAATGATGTTGGTACGTTCTGAGGGTCTGGCACAGGAAGTGAGTACACTGCAGAGAGGGGGGCTGGGCACGGGGCTGGGGGTCGTGTGAGTGTTGTAAAGTTTCTCTGCCCACTACTGGCCGGGCGCTAGAACTACATCGTTTTTCAACCTCATGTGAACGCTGAGAAATTTGCATTAGGAGCCAGGTCGTTTCTGTTCATAGCCTGGAAACGTCTGCGCAGCGTCTCAGTATAAACAGGGCCTGATTTTAACAAGGGCCTGATCCACACATCTCTTCTCAGTTTGCACTGTCTACACTGAGCCTGGCTTTAGACCAGGACCAGGGCTACACTGGATCTGGCTTTAGATCAGAACCAGGACTACACTGGATCTGGAATTAGACCAGGACCAGGTCTACACTGGGCCTGGCTTTGGACCAGGACCAGGGCGGCCTCGGTGTGTGGACTGACAGAGCTAAACACGTCTCCCACAGCCGCTGGAGGAAAGTCATATAAAGAAATGCATTATAGTTTTAGTTTCAGTTTCACGTGTCAGTGCTGCTGGCGACGGCACACACTGTCAGTTTGTTCACTTTGAGGAAGAGAAGATGGATACGACACACACAGAACAAGCTCTGGATCAACATCACGGGTGTCAGGGCTGTGGTGGGGGGAAACTAAGGCCTACGGGTCCAATGCGGCCTGACGTGTCATGTGATGTGGCCCTTTGCTGCTAACACTAAGTAACCACACAGTACTTTCACTGTGTCATCAATCCAACTTCATCTTCATTTGCAGAGACTTATTTTTGGGGATTCTTTTTTCAATATGGACCTATTAAAATCCATTTTAAAACCCAGAATGGTCCAAATCCAGTCAAAGCAGTTTTGCAGTCCATGTTGTCGACCCGTGGACAATTCTCATGTACTATAGCGGCCCTCTCACTACCTTTTAGTAAGAGGGCCGCTATTGACCCCTTGCATGTGAGGTCCCGGCCACGCCCACTCTCCATGACAGACGGCAGAAGTCTAACTGCGAGCCTTCAGAAACTTTACCAAAACAACCTGTTTCACCAAATAACAGCCAAAACTGTGACATTTTGCAGTGCGGTTGATTATACTAACAGGCAAGGACATAAGCTTTTTTATCTGATACCTGCTCGTCATGAAGACAGAAGACGACGATGGCGGCAATCAACCAAAAGGACTGGGACCATCCAAGTACTCCCTAATATGCAGTGAACACTTTTTATAAGATAAAGCAATCACAAGTTTGTATTTATTTTATTTCCATTAATTTGGAGGACAATGACACACGTCAAACGTGTCTCTTACTACTGTCCTGTCTGTGCGCTGCAACATTGACATTTCCCCACTGTGTCACGAATAAAGGATCTCTTATCTTAGACGTCAGTTGTGTGTTTCACTATTTTCCTCTCCGTCAGTACGTATCATGTTTGGCTGTAGACAGAAAAGCCACAGAAAAGTGGACTATTGCTAATGCTACCAGCAAAATGTACATATAAATCTGCTCCAGTGTGAGGGGATGCATTGTTAACGATAATGATAAAGATCATGTAGGGTGAATTTGGGCAAAAATAGACATTTTATTTAATCGATAAAATTGACTGGGGGAGAAGGTACGGGTCAACATCCAGTTAGGCAATCCTTAACTTCTCCAAATACCACTCTTTGTGAGCCCTGACCTGATGTCCTACTTCCACCTATAACGTAATCGAACATGTGCTTGAAGCAGCCACTTCTCGATTTAGGAGAGGAAGCTCCGTTTTTAAGAGTTGTAGTCCGTTTTGGTCTCGCAGCAATGCTAGTTTCCAATACTTCCGCCGTAAGCTCATTCACAATCACGTGACTGGATGACGTTGATGCATCTGGTCAATAGATCGTGCAGAGGTCAGGGATGTTTTGCCAGGAGATGGTGTTCCTCTTGCAGTTTATACCCATCCCCCAAACTCAGACTCATCAGGTAAACAGCAATAGTATTTATTTATTTATTTGATATGGACACAACACTTACATTGGACGGACCAGATGCACTGCCTTTAGTGTTATAGCAAGACCGAGCTAATGTTCAACTCTTGTCTATAGGAGGCTTAGAGGACAAAATTGCACGCATTTAAAAAGTACAAGTATATCATTAATCAATCAAAGTTTATTTGTAGAGCGCCTTTCATACACAGGGCAACACAAATCCAATTCATCAAACATGTGAACAACTTTGCTCCATGCCCGGTCACAGTTTCTGGTTGGGGGCCAAATTAAAAAACATGAGAGCTGGTTGGGGACAAAAGTATTAGTTTTTCAAAATTATTATTATTATTTTCTACATATGTTCGTCTTTCAACAAATGGACTGTATTAAACAGGAGTTTGGATGTCATTTTGTGCAGGGTTGGATTCAACCACAACTGGGCCAAATATCAAGAAAAGATGTAATTGAAGACCGATAGTTAAATATAAAGAATACATAATTGGATTACTATAACTTCGACTTACAGTTCAGTTAACATTTTAGAACAGAAGCAATGATGGTTGTTCTGCAAAGATAATAGGCTTTAAAATGAAGTATAACATGCCATATGTCATGCTTTGCCATCACCACTAATGCTGCAATTTACTGCGATAATTGAAAATCATTTGAAGGGCCGCTAAAAATAGTCTCGCGGGCCGAATTTGGCTCACGGGCCAGGGTTTGACACGCCTGGTTTCAGACTCCGGCTCCGGCTGGTTTCAGGCTCCGTTAAAGGAAAAGCACTGTTCAAAAAATATTCTGAACTTCGGCCCCAAAGACAAATTGTTTTTCAAATGTTTTTTCAATGATGTCACAAAGAGGCCAAAGGTTTCTGGTCTGATGCCTGGACTGCCTCGTGGTGCAGGGGTACGGAGTGGCTGCAGTGATGGGCAGTGGCAGCTGGTGGTTAGCATTAGCGTGCGGTTAGCATTAGCGTGCGGTCTGCTGCAGGAGCCGTGCAGACGCCTAAATGGTGGAATTAGCCTGAATGATGCTGGTTCCATTAGGAGCGTGGAAGACTCCGGTCATCGCCACAATTGCATTAGTTCTGAACAATAATAACTGGTCTGTCCCTGTGTCGCTGCCGGAGGAGGAGAGAGCCCGGAATGTTCTGCAGTACGGCATTTGACCAGTGACTGTATGGATGGACAATGCTAACCTGCAAGCTCAAGGAAGCCCAATAGGGAAGTGCTCATGAACAAAGTTTTGCTCCAACTGGCTCTGGCTCTTGATGACTTACATGTAAACATAAACTCCTCTCGCTCGGTGACGTTTGTGTCACACTCACCATTTTAGACTTATCTGTGATTTATCGCTTTTCC